GTCGGCTCAAAACTGCTGAAGTGTGTAGTGTGAACATTTATGTTAAAGTATCAAATTAGCAGCTCAGTTAAGTTGGGCATTCAATATGTAAGTTGGAACTTGTAACTATTTTAGCTACTCAATTGAATACTTGATAGCTGAAGCCAAAGAACAAATAAACCATAATAAATAGTCGAATTTAAATTGAATTCATTTACGATTTTGGATAGAAATGCTTTGCCTAAATAAGCTTTAATGTGATATCAATTCTTAAGGGCTATTTTTTTGTTATATATTGCTTTGTGGGTATTTTCCTCGTGTTTTATTTATAATATATATTAATATTTGTATTATTTTTTAAGCATTATTAATTATTCTTTTCACAAAAGTCAAAGTCTGTTCAACTAATCTTTTTTGATACATTTGATGTCAGCAATGCATATTGTCGCTTATTAATATATTTGAAATCGAATTATCATTTTTTTTCTTAATGTCTAGTCAGCAATCTAATCAGTAAAATTCCACAATTGCTTAGTTCGAACCCAAGAATATAACCAAATGTGTTTAAAAGCCTTTTGAGCTTTTAAGGGTTTGACTCCGTCAGTTTATTAACTTTCCATTCAAATCGTGCTACCAAAGTTCTACAAACATACACCAAAACTGGATAACAACTGGTTTGCAAAAGCTTTTTTCTTAACAAAAACAAAAGCTAACAGGTCAAAAAGCTTCATGCTAACTATAATTGCTCCGTTGTTAATATTGTTCCGTTGTTAAGAAAGCTGCGACCAGTGTTTACACCATAAATTTTGCAGCAGAACAACATCAACAAATCAGACCAACAAAATGAAAGTTTGGTGGCGCGGCAAGTAGTCAAAAAGAGGCCAATAACTTATATACAATATTTACAGCGCTATCAATGCTATTATCAACAAGCATAACTTGCAGAAAACACATACAAACGCAAAAAATACACAGCATGACAAAAGAAAAAAGCACAGAAAGTTATTAACATAAATTCTTATAACAACATCGCATCGCACATCGAGCTAAGATGAAGTTGGCCCACAAGCAGCGAGAGTGGGGCTAAAAAGTTAGCAACCACAAAAGTCAAAAGTGTTGCGACCCCGATCCAAAAACCGTCTCATTTCCACCTCTCAAAGTTAAGCATTTTTCAGTCCTTTAAACTTTGCCTCGTTTACCGGCGATCGTCTGAGTACGCGCCTTGAGTCGAGTATTTAGAAATTCATTTAAAAGTTGCACCAGCATCGTTGCCTCTTTGTTGTTAATATTACCATTGTTGTTGTTGTTGTTGTTGTTGTTGCTGCTATTGTTGCTCCTGTTGTTGCCACCACTACCAATATTTTTGTACGCCCAGTTACACGCATAAATTTTGTTATGAAACTTTTTGCAAGGCTGTTCGTTGCTGTATGCACAAGGACTGTACGAGTACGTGTACGTATACTGCTAGTAGTGAAAGTTTTGACGCCCTTTTTGCTGTACTTGTTGTTGCTTTTGTCGTTGTTGTTGCCGTTGTCGTTGTCGTTGTTGGTTGTGTATTTGCTGTTGCGAATGTTTCGTTGGTTTTCTTTAGTTGCTTGCGGTGTTATTGTTGAGGTGGTACAATGATGGTATGCAAAGTTTAGTTAGATTATGTTACCTGTTCCCCGGTACAAAACCATTGATTATAAGTCAAGAGCAGTGCAGAAGACATCTACGTACATTATTGATTAAGGCTTTAAATTAAAATTTATTTTGCATTGCCAAAAACTAATAATATTTATTATATTCAGAAATGGAGTTAGATAGAATCTTAGGTGATTTTCAATGTTCAATTTCTGACAATATATTTTTAAAATTTCTTTTTAAGTTCCTATCATCTTTCAGCTAAAAGGGGTTTGCTCTAATTTATGACGACAAGCAAGCTGAGCTGGACTCTGTGCTGCATGAGGTAAAGCAACCCTTAGTTCCTCATAAGCTCGGCCATGTGGCATGTTTAGAGACGCGACTCAAGTGTTTTGGGTACATTCGAGTGGCAGCTTTAATGCAAATGAAATGCAACCGAGTGCTATGCTAAGCAATTGCATCGCAATGGTAAGCCACACGTTTAAGCTAAGGTGCCCTTTCCATTTTCGCATTATCTTCATGACATTATTTTCACTTAAGCCCCAGAGCCAAATGCTCAGCACTCTCACACACACAGCCATAAGTTGGAGCCACACGCAGAATTGTGGTGCACGCAGAAACCTTGTAAACAAATACAATAAATACCGGGCTTTGAAAATTTAACGTCGAAATGCGCAGCAGCTAGCACAAACAGGTGTTAATCCTGCTTGGCCAAAAAGGATATGGAAAACGACACCCCAAAAACAATGCTGCATTAAAAGGAAAACTTTAAGCTGCTTGCGCCAGTGGCTAAGAGAGTGAGTGTGAGAAAGAGAGCAAAGAGATAATCATAAAAAATTTGTTGCACATGAAAACAATTGCGCTCATTTGTAGCGTGAAAAAGACACCCATAAAGAAAGAGAGAGAGAGAGAGAGAGGGAGAGTGAGAGGGAAAGGGAGAGAGAGAAAGCAAATGTTCGCAATTTGCATTTGTTTTGGTCACAAGTTGTCGTCGTTTGTCAGTTGTCCTGGCAACCACTTGCCTCACACACACACACACACACACATAGAGAGAGACCACTAGAGTGAGACGGCAGCTGTTGGAACTTGTTGTTGTTGTTATTGTTGTTGTTGTCTAAGCAACTTGCACTGCTATACACACACATACATACATATAAAACACACATATATATAAATACGCTCTCGCTTGTATGCAGCTCCTGCAGTTGCTCCTTGTGCTTGTCATTTTTTAGTTTTAGCATACGAGCAGCTTTTAAAGGTTATCTCACATTGACCATTTCCATTGCGCTGCTCTTTTCGGTTACAAAAACGTAAAAAATAAAATAGAAAAAACAAAAAAGCGAAACTTGCTGCAAATGGAGCGAAGCATAAAGTGATGCCAAAGCTTTAAATACAAAGCCAAAGCAAATCAACAAAATAAGCAAAAAAATCAACAAAAAAAAAAACAACAAAAAAATAAATGCCAAAGAAAATAACGGCCATCGACTAAGGCGAATAGTAAAATGTTAGTGTTTGTATTCCCGGCTGTGGTTGTTCTTGTTGCTGCCTTTTGTTAGTGTAACGGTTTTGTGCATATTTTCTTTTCCATATGGTGACGCCGGCGTTTCTCTAAGTGCTTTAGTGCACCAGTGTGTGTGTATGTGAGTGTGTGTGTGTGTTTGGTTGCTTGTGTTTTAGCGTGCTGGTTTGTTTATCTGCATTTGTGTTAGTGGCATGCGCTTTAGCCGGTTAAATCGCACGTTGCCATTAGCATTTAAAGCTAACTTAACAGCCCTGTTAACAGCACTGCCAGGCTTTACTCAAATGTTAAGCACAACTGTCTTCGATAATTATCGATAGTGCAGCTTTTCAGTCACGACACGAAACAGACAAAACAAATCTTTGCATGACTGTGATTGTACTTACTCATTTATTTAAGTATGCTACATTAATAATGGGAGTATTTTAATTATTTTAAGGTTAATCAATCTCTCTTAATTACTCCTCGGTTACACGTCTATTTATTATAGTGCTAGATAGGGGATTGTAGTGTTAATTAATCTGCCAGAATCACTCCTCTGATACCCGTTAACGTTTTTATAGTGTCAAATAAAGTGTGGAAGCGCAGGTATTGCAAATCATTTGTCGAATGGGTTACACCATGTATATGTCTTTCCTCTCTCTCTCTCTCTCTATGTCTCTCTTTCTCTTAGTCATTCCTCACATAAAATAGCATAATTTCGGCAGGCGCAACTCTTGAGTAGATATTGCATATGGCAAAGTTGCCCCACCCACTTGAGTTTCCTTAACGGGACAACTATTTTTACGTAGATTAGTAATGACACTTTTCAACTCCAAATAGCGAAGTTTGATTTTCGGATATTGGGTAGTAATTACATTAAGAAATATGTTTGTAAATGCAATATTTATATCCTTAATCCTTAGTTTATTTTGAAAGAAAAATTAATTCTTCAAAAGTTATGAATTATTTATTTTATATGCATTCGTGACTTTGATGCATGCTTGTCAAAACTATTAACAGATTTATATCTTATTCCGAAATAGTTTTCCTCAACTTAAAATCAAATTCTTAAATAAATTAATTGTAATTACCTAATTTTATATACGTGAGCTCTAATTATAATTACTAATAATGTAAACTGGTTTGACCTTGCATATAATACTATTTGAATAATTATTTGTTTGACCTTGGTGATTAAATCTGGTTCGTTTTACGACACCTCTGAATAATGGCTAGTACTTTTGGGGATATCATGAGAAGTTAATTAGGCCAAATGTTTGAACACAATATGCATTGGGCAACCCGAAATCAGACACACATATCGGGCAAATGTTCTACTAATAAAAATGATTGTAATATCCTCATCTGTTCTCATTTAAAGCGCATTAAAATCACTTCTGAATGTCGCCCATTTCTATGGCAATACACACACACTATATATATATATATACCAACGCGGTCTCTCACCCAACTCTGGGTCATAAAATTATTATGAATATTCCAAAATAATTTGCTGGGCAACGCCAAATCAAGGCATAAACTTCTGTGCACATGTTCGGCAAATGTTGTTTGTTTTTAATGACAATGGATTGACAACGCAAAACACAAACAACCCAAGCAAACTACAACTATAACAACACTATTAATAACTTAAATACAGAAAAAGCAACAGCTACAATAACATCTACGACAACAGCAGCAACAACAGCCACAGGAACAGAAAGAGGGGCTAACCCTCCCCAAAGACGAAGCGTTGCCAATGTCAACCGTCGCTGACACCCCAACAAACCTCAGCCCCCTTATCGTTGTTGTTCTTGTCGGCGTTTTCAATGCCGCACTAAAATTCCGGCTACGGTTACGGCTCCGGTTTACTATAAACAAACTTTGTTAACATTTCTCAGTGGACCGACGAACAGTTTTGCCGCGTAATTTCACAAACACGCGTGTTAACACAAGACACATAAAATAAAATACAACAAAACTTAAATGCGCGATAACTAAATGAAACTTATCTAAAATGTGGCAAAAGTAATTGCGAATTTGGGTTTAAACAGACAAATACAAATCAACGACTATTTCAAAGACAACTTTACGCTGTATACACCAAAGGGTCTATGGACAAATGGTTTGGAGAGAAACGTCTATGGCTGTTTGGTAATCATCTTCCACTTCTGCCCAGAAGGTAAGTCACTGAATTGTAATTCAACAAGTTTAACTTTCAATTATGATAAACGATATTGATTCCTTTGAATGTTTGACTTGAACTTGATGTCGTCGTTTAACTTTAAGATTGACGCTTAGATAATTTGCCATTACGGCATAATTGTCCCTGATATTGTTTAGCTATAACCTCAGACAGTTGACTTTCAGGCAAAAGTTTCCTTGACTCTGAAAATTCAAGCGAACAAGTTATTTTCTGAATAATATGGATGTTCATTTGAATAAACCTTGGAGAATACTGATATGTGTACATATGTTCGGCAAAAATACCTTACTTTGCATATTGCTTTTTTGCAGAGCTTTGAACTGCTTCTTTTTGACTATTTGCAGAGTTCCGGATATGAGGCTAGCTATTTTGAATTTATGTATTTATGAATGTATTTAAAAGTTCAGTTGTTGGCATATATAGGCGTAACCCATACAATAGAAATAGTAATTTCAGATATGCCAGTGAAAATGAATTAAGTGCATTAAATTTATATACAAAAAGTAATGTACAGATACTTTAAATAGTATATTGATTACAAATTCAACTTACCATATTAAATAACATAATCTGTATCAATTTCAATGATCACATATGATACTCCAAGTATGCATTACAATTGTATTCAAAATATGCAAAGTATTTCATCTTAGACTTTGGTTTCGCCGAAAATTACTTCAAATATTTGACGTTTGGCATTCAACTTCTCGTTGAGCTGACTCCTCAAAGTGCTTTCAATTACATAGTCACCAAAGAAGACAAACATGTTGGACTCCCTGGTTGAGAGACAGCTCACCTAGCAAATACCCTGCGAAAATACCAAGTTATTTCACAAGTTGCATATGAACAATAGGGTAAATATTTGTAATCGATTTTCTCCCGAGTTTCTGCTTCAACTTGCAGAGATGATCAAAACTATTTCAAGGTATCAACTTACCATGGATAAATTGTTAAAATGATAGTTCTTAAAGCCATCTGTAATCAAATCGTTTTCATGTTAGGGAAATACAAGAACTTACTTTCCAAAATTAAAGTCTCTAGCTCTTCTAGTCTCTGAGATTTTGTACAAATGGAATTGGAGGTGCTTCGTTCTGTCTGTTACATACTTTTGTACATCTTCATTACACCCTTTTTACTGCACAGTAATGTGCTGAAGGTATAAGTAGAAAAAGTGCAGAACCAACGGCACAGGCAGCAGGGAAAATATATTTTCCATATTTTTGCTCGCAGTTTCCATGCAGACGCGCAAATGACGTTGACATGTGCGCAAAGGTTTCACCCAGTTTCACCCGGTTCCACCCGGATGCCTCTCTGGCTGAGGAAGAAGCATTAAAAACCGCTAAATCATCCGCTACCGCTGCCAATAAGTATGCAATATTCCATTTGAGCTGGTTGTCTGGCTGTCAGTCGTTGTCGGGTCCATGTTGGAGTCTCACAATTCTATGACGGATCCTTCGGATGGCATGGGCAGTGAAGAAACCAAACAAAAACAAACAAAGCGATGGCCGCATATCAATGCAATTTTGATGTCTGTGTATTTTTTCGCCATTTTTTCTATTATTTTTTTTTTCTTTTTGCAAATATTTTGTTTGATTGAATTTCAATTTGATTGCAGTTATTTGCGGGTTTGGACTGAGTTTCGCTGATAGGGTTTGTGCGATTGGTTGGTTGGTTAATAGCAAGGTTTGTTGGTTTTCGTGATGCTCATTTTGCTGTCAGTATTGGCAGCTAGTTGAATTGTGAAGAATAAGTTTTGTCACGAGCATGTTCGATTTGCCTGACAGGCTGTCCGATTGGAAAATTGATGCATTCGTCTGATGGGAAATAATATATAATTTCTGGTTAACATATTAGACCATATTAACATGTTATAATTCAATTAATCAATTGCTACTTAAAATGGTAAATCAATGCCGAAAGGTATTCTTATTTTGAGTAATATTACGCAATGAGGAATTGGGCCCCATAACATATATTTATTCATAATCAGCACCAATAGCTACTACAATAAAGCCATTATCGGCTAGTATCTCAGCAAAGCTACCTGTATTAAAAGTCAAATACAATATAAGTTAATTTGTTTCGCAATTTTGTTGAAACTCATTTCTCACGTGTCACACTGATTGGAGAAAATCAACTCGACAAAATATTTTAAATGTATATAATTTAATTTAATACACATATATGTATGTATATGTTGTAAGTTCATTTTAGAATAGCTCGCAATGTAGCTAGTTTTTTGCTCATTCTATTCACGCCATGCTTTTCGAATTCAGTCGCAAAGCAATTGCACATTTGCCCCAAACTCTGTACATCACTTGTATATTGGGTCTTTCAGCGCAACTACTGAGCTCTCCCCTTGCTCAGCCCCTGGATCAACTGCATAGCTGCCTTTGGTTTGGACATTTATGAGCTTCATTTTGCATGTGCCGTGTTTTCCTTGAATCTTTTTGACTGCCATCACAACTCTCGCTCTCTGCATGTGCAGCTAGCTACTTTAGCTGCCTGACTCATTTGCATGCGCCCCTTTCTGTTCATTCCCATGTAGCAGCTGTTTACTGACCCCAAAAAAAAAAAAAAAACAAACTTAGAAAAAGCATTAAAAAAAAAGAAAGACGATGGAAGGGAACTGGCGACGCTGCCAGCACGAAACTCGTCACAGTCAAAGCGGCAAACACCTGGGCCGGTTTCAACGGGGGCTGAGGGCAAGTTGACTCATGGAAAATGGCAAGTCGTGCATTAAATATGCATCATGTCCAATGCATTTTAAAGCATATATCGATAAAATAGATTGAGAAATGGCGTAGTCTACATTTTTCGCTGTTGCGGTGCAAACGTGTCTGTTGGCCGTGTGAAATGTTTCACAATTATTATTTCCCGCAAGCGTTTCACGACTCATTTCTCTATCGTCTCATACAAAAGATACAAGTGTGCAATGAGCCAACTATAAATGCTAGGCAGCACAGGTAGGTCGAAGTTCATATCGTATCGAGTAAAACTTTCGCCTTTGCGGCAAGCTCGTCCGTAATTAGTTTCGTTTTAACTTTGGTGCCAGCAGCTGAAAGTGAAAAATGTGCAAAAAAAACCAACAAAAAACGCAAAAAAAAAACGCAAGAAAAACTTTTGCCCGAATGACATTTAGTCCTGTTTGTAGTTTGTATGTGCATTGGCCTTGGCCTTTGTTACGCAGCCCGTAAGTTGTCTGCAGACCGTAAGTATGCAATGCTTTTTACAGCCGTGCGTGTGCTCGCTGCACATTTGGCATTAATAGCTTGTTATTTATCGCACTCTCACTCCGTGTATTCAGCGAACAAGGCCACATCCCCACTAGAATCCCACAACCCCGCTTAACCAACTCGCTTTTACATATTTGCGCCCATGGAACGCAACGTTGCCGCTCTTCAGCGATTGGGTTACCAAATTTGCAGAGTGCTAAAGTTTTGCCTGGCATATTCATTTCTATTTTCGCACAACAATTTGAGACACTTGGGCAGCAAAAGTTGTTCGTTGGGAGAAGTATTTATAAGCCATATTCGCTGTTTTTAGCACAATGCAAATGCTTAAGTTGAAAAGGTCAGTCGGCTTAGGCATTGTTCTAGGTTCATGTGTTATGTAAGCCATTAATTAGAGACATGCTCAGAGGAGGTAAAACTATAGCCAAAAATCTGAAAATCAGATTTGACAAAGTTACGGCTCTGGAATATTTTAACCCGTCCTATAAGCACTCTCTGTTGGTCTAATTTTAAAATAAACTTCGAGTTAGAATCGCGTTTCAACTTGAAATTCAGCATTAAAGTCAAAGTCAAACTATGATTCTTGCTCAAAGTATATATTATAATATTAGGTAAGATAATACTATCTCATTTTTTTAGTAAGCTTTTTTTCGATAAAGTCGTTCCACTTCTCAAAGTCTTATTCTTAGAGTCAATATTTGAACTCTCCTTTCAGCTATTTTTAGACTAGGATCAGAGTATTGTTCAGTCGGTTAGCTCTCACTTGCTAACATACACACAACATAATTAAAATGACCAAAAATGAGCTCTCTTAATGTTCAGCAGACTATTACTTAATTTTGCAAACTTTGCACTCGGACTGCCTGTCGATTCTCGCAAACACTTAAAACCGGAGCAGTTGGTAAAACACGTACACAATCAATAATATGTACAACAATGGGTTTGCCAACCCACTTGACCAAAAGTTGAACAGCCCCCGGCAAGTGTCGACTATTGAACCCGACTCAAGCCAACAATATGCCCAAAACTCTCTCGCGGCACAAAAGAATAAATATCGGATAGGAGAGTATTGTAGTTAACGTTAACGTGCATGTAAGACCCGAGCCGTGAAGAATATAATTAAGAGGCATGAAAACGACTACAATTACATGAATAATGTAGGAAAAATCAAAGCAAGGGCTGTGTGGTAAACAAACCGTTTCAAAAATAGCCACACAATTGAAGAGAGCCCCAATGAAAGCACTACAATTGCGAATATAATTATGCAAATTGAATGGCGCTAACAACTGTACAAATCCCCTTGCCAATTGGCCAGAAACAAAAAGGTCAAAAGCCGTCACCATATTGGCGAAATTAGTGCGAGCAATTAGAGGAAATGGCTATTGGAATTAAAAGGTGTTGGTCAGAGTATTCATTGTTTTGAGGCCAATTGTGTGTCTGTCAGGGCTCTTTGTGCGATGGTACAACGAGGCGTATGCGTGACAATTGCTAGTAATTCCAGCTCGGATTTCAATGCATTTTTGAGTATATTCGATTCATATTTAATGCAACACGCAACCTCATCACAGACGGTTCGAAACAATATCAAATGAAACAAACCGGAAACCAAACAGCCAATGTCCAATGCGACACACACACATACACATATACAATCACACACACACACACACACACACATTTCTGCAATGTCCGCAGATGCAAGCAAGTTGAGCGGCCATTTTGACTTTATCGCCAAAGCCTGTGGCTGTGGCTTGGCGTGTTGACTTGCTGGCCATTTAGGTGGCCCTGCTAAAGTCCTGTTCCTGGCCAAAAGAAACTTCAGTAGGTTGCCGGCACTTGACGTTTCGACATCGTCTTGCGCTCCACTTTTATTTGCTAGCGTTGTCGCTGCTCGGTATCTTTATTGTTATTACTGAAGTTTCGGAGGTGATAAAGCAATCAAAATAATATCTATATATTACGACTTTCATAATGAAAATGTTTGAGATATCCAAGTTGTTTTCGCTGCGGAGGTAAGCCTGAGTATAACTTCTTCTATAGACTCAACTCCATTATATATCAAAATATTTCATTTGAAGTTTGAATATTTAAATGTATTGCAGCACAAATTGTATATATAGTTTTCTATAGTGTATAAACTTTTTTGTGTTAAAGCAAGTATATTATATTATTATTTATATTTAAGGTGCAATTAATCACAACAAAACTGTTTATTAAATTTTCATTTCTGACTTTCAGTTGGATCTGTTTTAATAAAAGTAAAATATTAAATCTATCGACAATACAATATAAGGAGTCCTAAGTATTTTAATCAGACCATTAAATCGATACCGATAAGAGTTAAATTAAATAAGAATAACACTTGACATTGTTTTAATTACAAAATAAGTGCTGAGAAGTTGATAAGTGAAAACTCGCTTAATTAGACTTCATTAAATATTAAAATCTCACAATTAGGCACCTGCAGGCAACCAAGTCAACAGCAATTTATTCATATTTTGAATCGTAATATCCCAGTGAAGTGTGCCATAATTGCTCTACAAAATGCTAGACATTAATAAGTTATAGTGTCATGGATAAGCCAAACCCAACCTCCCATTCTACTCAGCCAAGCCGATTGCACTGCTGCACCAGTTTGACTGTCTTCCCTAGTTCAAGATAGAGCTACCCTTTCCTTGACTCAGCTCACGAGTTCCTTTTGTAGCACAGTTTGAAAGGCGACAGGGCCACAACGCCCACAGTTCCCGTTTCGCCAGAAACTACCAGGTAACCTCAAAAGGCAAAGAAAAAACTACGCCTCAAATTCTTTCCGGTAGTCGTCGTCGACAGTCGTTGACTGTTTATTCAGTGCACAATGGTCACTCTGGGCAAAAACAAAATCTTAATATTACCTATAAAGGTGTTTGTAAAAAACGACAAAAGGACAAAATGGAGAGTTGTTCGATGTTGCTAAATCCAATCATATTTTTATTTTAATTTATTGAACATTTTATACAATAATAAAAATTAGAGGCCTAAATTTGTCTGTCCGTCTATATATATATATATATACCATGGATTGTTGTCGATTCTGTTTTGTAATGTATATAAATTTGACAGCACATTAAATATCTTTGAATTAAAAGCTATAATTTGATCAAGAATGAACTCCGATTTGCCCACTGTTCAACGTTGTGAGCCACCAAACAACAATACCAACAACAAAAACAAACACAACAAACCATAGAGCACACACTGCTCAGAACTCAGAACTCAGAACTCAAAGGGGAGCTAAGGAAGCTAGATGTTCTACATGAAACATGAAACTTCTTGAAAAACTTCAGAGCACTGCGCATGGTTAGCTTTTGTGTTGTGGTTTTTGCTTTGTTAACTTTGGTCGCATTGCTATGACATTGGTTCTCGGTTTGGGACGTTCGGTCGGACGCCAGACAACGACAAGGGCTGGGCGGGGATTAGCGGGCGGAGGGAGTTCAGGTCGGGCCAAAAGTCCGGGAAATCAGTCGCTGGTTGTCAGTCAAACAAACGGCTCTCGTACAGGTCGCACGCGTCTGACGACCTTTAGCTGGAACCTGCTTAGAATCTTAGAACACATATTGATCGGTATTCCAATTAATTACCAAGTTATTTAGCGCATGGTGTGTATTCAGCTACTCTTTAAACAAACGATTTGTTGGTGCTAATCTTGTGCTTTTCATCATTACAATTTGCATATGTACATACATTGCATCATTCCAAACATACATATCCACATATGTATATGTACGCCAATCCATTTAAATACCGTAGTGGCACATACGTCAGATTATAGCCAGATGGATACCTACTAGGTAAGTGCTCAGTTGGACAGCTCCTCAACGTTAATCCTTCTGCTTTTTGCTGAGTTTTCTACTCCCACCCGCCCCACATCCATTTACCAATTTGATTTGCACTTAGACCTTGTAGCCGCACATGAATATTTAATTTAATTGCATTTTGTGTGTTTACGACCTGCACACATGTAAGTGGCTCGTGTCCTGCACTCGGTTTCCTTCCAACCTTCCCCCCAAAAGTTCAGTTACCTATGCATGACATTGAAATGGCAGAACATATTGCCTGTAAGCTTATCACTCGCTAAACATCAGCCAAAATCACAGAGCCACAAATTGTCTGAAAAGGACACGCATTCAAACTATGAAAAATCGATTTTAGTTTACTTCCTATTTTTTTTTTCTTTTTTGTTTGTTTTGTGGGAAGAGAACTCATTAGTGGGGTGCAATATCTGCAAAGCAATATAGAATATTACTGTTATTGATTATTTGGGAGCCAAAAATGACTTTATAATTATGATTAAGATTCGTTCATCCAGTTTGTTCACTTGAATTTTATGAAATCAATTACAACAATTTCTATTTAAATTAATAATTAAAATTATAATTTCGATCATTAACTTTTGAGATGAAAATCGAAAAACATAAAATTCAATTCAATTTTAACTCGTACATTTAATGCTACTGAAAAAATCAGTTTCAAATAAAAATACAAATTAAATTATTGTGCTCGATTGGGATATACACTGAAAAGTAGGAGAATTGCAGTTTACTCTCATTGAAAGTTAATTTTAAAGGAAAAATAATAAATTAAGATGCATATTCAATACAATTCTCTAATTTAATGGGTGCGGTACACAATAAGTTAAGGAAACTAATAGATTAAAATTTAATTATTAGCTTAAAACTCTCTTATCATATATCTCTCGTATCATAGAAATTTTCCATATTTTAGTATTCAAACACATTCTTTATTTATTATTAATATCTGTAGTCTTTTTCATTCTTTTTATGCTTAACAAAGGCATCACTTGCATTGAAATAACTCATGAAAACTTTTCTAATCTCATTCGTTTTCGTTGCAAAAAGAAACCCATCAAATAACAAGCACAACTAATCAAATCCGTTAAACAAAAATCAACTTTTGGACATCAAATAAAATTACAAAAGAATAAAATCAAAGTCTGTACATATATATAGTAAACAACATCAAAAGATCACCGCTCATTCAAATGACATATACATTTATATATGTATACCCGATTCCCATATATACATATATATATATGTGATTGAGATCTCTCATGTGTTCGTGTCAAACAAATAGCATCATAAACATTCTATGTGCTCAATGCAAAGCAATGCGTCGTGCAAACATCAAACGTGGTCAATGTTTGAGTCTAAGGTAAAATTCACAGCTAAATGTATATTTATCTAAATCTGAACCTTATGCACATGTGCAGGTTGAAAAATATATTAAAGTATTACTCATTGAAACACTTTCAGACCACAAGGTAGCAGCAAAATGGATCGTTATGAGAAGCTCAGTCGACTGGGCGAGGGCTCATATGGCGTCGTCTACAAATGTCGAGATCGAGAAACTGGCGCCTTAGTTGCGGTTAAAAGATTTGTCGAATCTGAGGACGATCCGGCCATACGTAAAATAGCATTGCGAGAGATAAGGCTGCTGAAGGTAAGATGAAGTGCTTTAAATTGTCAGATGCCTTACAAAATAATTGAATTTATTTAATACATTTATATCTTATACATGTGCAAGATATAAGTTAGTCGAATATTAATTTGTTTTTTCAGCTTAACATATACAATAATATTAACCAACCATTTTACTTCAATTTTGTAGAACCTGAAGCACCCGAATCTGGTGTCGTTGTTGGAAGTGTTTCGACGCAAGCGCCGCCTGCATCTGGTCTTTGAGTTCTGTGAGCTGACGGTGCTGCATGAATTGGAACGACATCCACAGGGCTGCCCGGAGCCACTGACCAAGCAGATTTGCTATCAGACGCTGCTGGGCGTGGCATATTGCCATAAGCAGGGCTGCCTGCATCGCGACATTAAGCCAGAGAATATTCTGCTGACGGCCCAGGGTCAAGTGAAGCTCTGTGACTTTGGCTTTGCGCGAATGCTTAGTCCGGGCGAGAATTATACAGACTATGTGGCGACACGCTGGTATCGGGCACCGGAACTCCTCGTCGGCGACACACAGTATGGCACGCCGGTGGATGTGTGGGCGATTGGCTGCCTCTTTGCGGAACTGGTGCGCGGCGAGGCGCTGTGGCCGGGACGCAGTGATGTGGATCAATTGTATTTGATACGCAAGTCTCTGGGTGATTTGCTGCCGCGACATATACAAATTTTTGGACAGAATGAGTACTTTAAGGGCATAACGCTGCCAGTGCCTCCGACGCTGGAGCCACTAGAGGACAAAATGCCGGGCAAAGCACTGCAAAATCCGCTAACCATCGATGTGCTAAAGAAGTGCCTGGACAAGGATCCCTCGAAGCGTTGGTCCTGCGACAAGCTGATTAAGCACTCCTACTTCGATGATTACATAGCCAAACAGCGCGAGCTGGACCACATCAACAGCCTAGAGGCGGCCACACTACGCCAACAGCAATTGGCCTCCCAACAGTTCATGCTGGCCACTGCCGCCCAACAGCTTCAAACGGGCACGGCGCAGGCGGCGGCCATCGCCGCAACGCGTGATAAATCAAAGGTGAGCAAAGGACAGCTTACACTCACTGTGAAATATGCCCAGGCATCAAATTAATGCGAGGTTCAAAGCTGGATTTCATAAAGCTATTCCCAGTAGGCCAAACAGATTTATATCACTTGCTTTTTTCCGTATACATCTCATAGCATGTTGCTTTTGGATTCATCACAATGTCTCTCTTTGAATATGTTTCCGTTTCTGACAACTACTTATCTAAGGTATAAAAAAGTCAACCCGACCAAAAAAAGTTCCATAAAATGGAAATAAAATGCTGAGAGCATTAGCGTAAAAAGTCCAATATGAATATTATTAGTTTAATATAATTCCATAAAATATTTTTTCTGTATTTTATACGGAACTTCAAGAAGAACATTTTTTCAAATTTGAAAAAAATTAAAAGACCACAAGAGAAATTGTCAAAGACAGTTATAGAAAATAGCAAATGTCTTAGAGAAGTAAAGGCAAACAAATAATGGTATATTTTAATGATACTTTTGTTTAAAAACTAGGGTTCTGTTTTCAAAATATAAAAATACGAACTTCAACTATGAAAATTAAGCAATCTTAATTCCTAATTGGGTTTATTTTTTTGGCAAAGTTAAGCAAATATTTGGTAATCTTCATTAAAAATATTATTTAATGAGTGTACTTCATTTCTGTAATAATTTTGTCCTTTTTGGCCAGCAGACTTCAAACACCTCCTTGCCGCTGCTGCCGAGCACACAGCATCATCATCATCATACGCATCAGGACTATGTGAAGCTACAGCCACTAAATAAGAATGCAGCGATGCTGCATCGCACCGAGCATCACCTGCCCACCATTTGAGGATTGAGCTCGCTACTTCTGCACTGAATTGTAATCTTTACTATCCCCTAGCAGTTGGCTCACATATTTTAGTATATTACTGCGTTATGTGAAGAAAAAAACCTGGCATAAGTTTCTTTAATTACTTCGACAAATAAATGTAAAGTGTGAAAAAATACAAAATACTTTAAATTTCGTGAGTGAGTAAAATTGTTAGGCCAATAATCTGCATAAGTTTAAAAAAAGTAAATAAGACGGATGTAGTTTAGAACTGTCAGCCTCGAACAGTGTGGGTAGTTGGGTAATGATGCCATCTGTCTGTTATATACATAATTAATTATATCTAATTTTGAGATTATAATGTAATGCACTTGCTAAATCCCTTCGAGCCATGCACACACACGTACATTGAATTAAAATCCAGCGCGGGAGCTACAGAAAATGTCGTGTCTACACAGCTGGGCCTGTAGACACCTTAACCCACTGGCAGCAGTCGCGAACTTGGCTACTACTTTGCTTCGTACATCAAACCATATCTAACCATATCTACCACATCCACTTGTTGCCCCCAAAGCTAACCAAGTGAACGTCACACTTCGCCACGTGCCAACCACGACGGAGACGGTGACGGAGAAGGAGGCAGAGGCAGAGGCGGAGGCGGAGGCGGTGGCGGAGACTGGGTCTGTTGGCAAAGGCTCGACTCGTTTTTTTGGCAGGCTAATCCGGTGCTAAGCACACGGCAGATAATCAACGACACGTACCGTTTTACGTGTGTTCTCCCAGTGTTCCGGAAATGGGCAAACAATCGCTAACAAAGTGGCATTGACTTTTGATTGCAGTCGTTACGGTATTTAATGATAAAGATATTTATTAAAAGAGATTGGCCAAAATTGTGGGTTTGCTTGAAACTCTATTTTTTCTTTCGCATCTTTCAAATCAATCTATAAGCGTTAAGTAATATTCATTATTGATATTTAATATAAAAATGCACTATTAATTTGGCATACTTTTAATCAAGTTTAATATTTTGGGCTTATAAAGTTTTATGCTCGCTGTATTTTATTATTTTATTGTTCACTGAGCTCGTTTGAAACTTCATGTTGCCAACTAATAGTATTCATAGACTTATGAAAATTAAATTAATTTATTATGCATAATAGAATTGCGAACTTTGTCGAAGGCCCATACAAAACAATTATTTGCTGGCCCACTTTTGAATCTCAAATGACTAAAATAGTTGACTGGCTCAACTGATAGACTTTTGTTTTTTTGGTTGCCAAAAAGTTTTAATTAAATTAGTGTGCAAGTTGGCAGTAGTGCAACAGAGTAACGGCAACTGTCAACATACAGCTCGAATCTCTGGAGGTCGACGATGTGACCAGAGTTTTGTACGGGAGTCGTCGAATGCATTTGGGTATGGCGGACGCAGGCAAACACTGAAACTGACTCACATTCTCTCTTTCTCCATATCTTTCCGTTTCTCTCTCGTTCTCTATATATATATATATATATATATATATATATATCTGTGCTGACTTTTGCTTCAATGCACCCGCCGCCAAGTGCCTGGCACAATTGCTAGACACTTTGATTTTTCGTTTGGCATCACAATGGTCCAGAAACTTTCCGTTTCACCCTTTTATCTAACTGAGCTGAGCATTTGGCTGGGAATGCAAAAGGCAAAAGGCAAAAGGCATTTGTAAAGCGAGTGCAACCCCCACCCTCACTCCGTCCCTCACACCACCGCACCTGCAGCAGCCTCGTCCTCTCCCTGCCACATCCTGGACAGGATATGCAAAGTGTGCAGCGTGTTGTCGACTTGACGCTTGACAATCGCAGACAGTTGCATAATCTGTACTGTCGTTTATGCAAAGTGGCCTCCGGCAAAGAAGTGGGGCTGGGATAATGTTAAGAGGTGTCTGAATTGTTAAGCTCCACTGAGTGCAGTGCAAAGCAAAATCGAATATTGAATAAGTCGATAAAGCGTGCTTGATGCTTTTTTATACTTTTCCTATTCTCAGTTGTATTATCCAAATTCACAGCAAATTTTTAGTAAAGCCTTATAAAAGTTCTGATTGCGGTTTGCATTTAAACATGCCAATAAATGGGCAACAATAATAAAATGGTTTTAGTTTGTATGAAATATGAACTTCAAATAAAACTTGCAAATTTAATTACTATTGTAGAATATTAAAATAAAGTTATTGAATTAAAAATTAAAAATGTTTCCTACTGATTCCATAGGCGAATTAATAAAAGAAAGAGGAAAAGGTAGATTCTTTTGAAGTATTTTTATTCTTATTTTAACTTCATAATTTGATGATTAGGATAAAGTTTTAAATGAATAAATATGTTTAAATATTGAGAAGTTTTTCGAAATAAAAATCAGTGAAAAGTTCGTTGCTTAAGCATTGATTTTCCTTACAAGCATAGTTTGATTGTCATCTAAACCTTAACTAACAAACTAATGCCATTGATAAAGTTGCAAGTCCGCATAACGGCGATTAATGGCATTTTTACGTTCCGCATCCCCGCCCACTCCACGCAGCAGCTCATCGCGTTGCCAGTTGCGATAGACAGCCGAGTCCTGCAGCTTATCGTCCTTGTCCATGGCCTGCAGCTGCCACCACTTCAAGTTGACAGCTGGCGTCTGCATTGGTATAACTGAAATAATCTGGGGCTGGCGTGGTGGCCACAGGCCCAGCTTAGCCAATCTCTTCTGCTCATCGATGTCCGTATCCTCGGGTGTGCCCAGCATTCGCAGCTGTTGTACTCCATTATTACTGCCATGGGAACGCCTCAGCGGAATCGGGTCAAAGGGATCCTCGCCATACAGCTGACGATACTTGTTGCTCTTCACCAGGGTTATGATTTGGAACATGGCAACACACGTGATACAGTTATAGCCAGCAAAAACTGTAGAAAGATCGTCAATTACATATAAAGAGTATTTCACTTTAGACAGTGCCCACTTACGACAATAGAAACTGCCCACCAGGGTCAGTATGATGAGCAGACCCAAATTGATTTGCTTCTTGAGCACGATCATCAGCACAATGTGACTAATTGTAATATTCAAAAAGTAAATGAATTCAACGACTGCCAGCGGCAATAACAACCATTTTCGCAGCTAGGAAACAATTAAATATAGTACAGATTTAAACAATATATAATCAAGTAATAAAAGCAGAAAGATATTTTCTCACTCAATAAGTGGTGATCTTTTTTCAGCTAAAGGACATACTACAGGATATACTCAACTCAAGTATCGAGTACTCACCTTTATTGCGCCCACAATGCCTAAAATGGCTATCACAATGTGAGAATAACACATGACTTGCAAACAGATCAGAATATTGTCGGGTGCTGTAATTATATGCATAGTGTAATGATATATGTTAAATCACACATATTATATACTCACAATCGTGTATTCCGTTGATGAACTTCCGTATTATAAAGGTGCTCTTGTACTGTGAGTCATTTTCAAGCAAATCGATAAGTCCGTCGAAAATGTGGATGCCACGCACAAATAATAATATGCTCAGCGCCAAAGACTGGGTCTGGAGAAAGTAAACTGATCTTAATACAATATGCAACCACTACCAAGATTTTTTGGGTTTTTTTTTACAATGCTCAAGCCGGCCACAATCAGAACGCCTAGGCGAACTGAGCAATAGCACAAATAGCTTTCCATAAACAACATATTCAGTGGAATATTATTTTAATCGCTGGCCATAATTCAGGCGCCAACAACCTGGCCCCGCCGGACTCACTCAACAACTGCCGGGCTGGGCTCTCCCACGTCGGAGTCGGACAAATTGCCAATGACAACAACGACAACAAAAACGAACAATTAACGGCACAATGGAGGCCATAAAGGACAAAAACTTGTTCCACAGCCAGAGAGAGAGATGCCTATCTGCATACGTTACTAAACTGTTGTCATAACTGTGCTCATAATGCAATCTGAATGAGAACCATTTTTCATTCGCCAGCTGAACGTCATGGAGTTCGCTACAATGTTGCAAGGCGCTCGAGGCCGATTCCTCAGTAAGTGGCAAGAATGTTGTGTATGGAGTCCTATATGTTCTGCGCCTCAGTGCGACTGGCTGTTATCATTATCAGTGCCTTTGCCTTGGTCTGTATCACCTGAAAACTACTGATTTATTATGAGATTTTGTTTGTTTACAAAATTGTGTTTGCATATTAAAATGCCGCATCGAACTTAAAACGAAACTAAAATGAATTGCTGCAGTTTTGTCACAGCTGTGGCAGTTAGTCAATCAGGTTAAACAGTATTATTTAAACATTTATTTAGATAGACTCAATGACTGTTTTTTAACATAATTTATAGAAATATGAAAATAGTTTCTTTAACATACATTTACAGGCATTGAAAGTTTGATAAATATTGAAGTAATTTTACAGCCCTACACAATTTTATTCAACTATTCAATATTTAAAATGTTTTTATAAGTCTAAACCTGTATCAATTATTTTGATTAAAGTTCTTAAAAAATTATAAAATAAAAACTAGAAAAAAACATTTTAGGCAAAAAGCATTATTATCTTATGTGTGATCACCACCGAAGGCATTGACTTTATGGTTCCTATAATATCCGCCTTTGATAATAATTTGAGTTACAGAGCCAGCTACTACATGGTTAGAGATGTCATATTCTGGATGGATAAATGTAAGCTTTAAGTAAAACTCTCATAATATTTATACTAATTTAATTCATATTCATATAAATTATCTAACAGATCCCGATGTAGTTGTTCTAACACTCCAACTATATAGCATTTGTCACGCCATATTCTGCATCATTGCTGCATATGGTGCCTATAAAGTGAGTAATAATTGCGATCCAATAAATACCCTTTTCCTCATTTTGTCTTAATTATTTTCAGCTCAAAAGATTTTTTGTGGTGCCCCTTGCCATTTTGGAGTCTGTGTATATTGTGCAGATCATAACGCTTTTTATACTTTTCTTGCGGATTGTCAGACATTTTTTAAGCCTTGGAAAATTGATACTGCTGACCCTTTCAGCAACTGCCTATTCATGTGATTATTCGAAAACTGATTGCATATAGTTATCTTATATATATATATATCTTATATATCCTTTGCATAGTTCTCACTGTTTATGACTTGTTCGCTCTGGTTGCTTTCGAGCAAATCATTGCACTTGTGAGAAGTAAACGTTATCAGCAGCTTTATGGCTCGGACCCATTTAATCCCATACTCAACCATAACACAGAACAGCAACTGAAGGAGCATCCCACTATTGTTTATGTAATGCCCAAGGCGAATGCAAATTTGCCAAAATGGTGGCAAGTGGATAGCTTGCAGCATAATAATAGGGAAAATATTATGTTGCATGATGCACACAGATATTTTTAAGTTTAACAAAAAAAGATGACGTTCAGAATGAAAAAATTAAATTTAATCTCTAATCTTTTGAATAAAATTGATATTATTATTATTATTGTAAATAAATATAAATGAATTATATGAATTCCAGATTCGAAATGCTTTCAGGTGGAAAGCTTAAAGCTCTCTGCAGACTAAAAAGCTGTGGTGAAACTATCGTTTTAGAATACCACACAGCGTTGCCACTCTATGCAAAGTGGTGAACTTTCAATTCGAAAGCTAAACCATTCTACAACAAAATTAATTATTACAAAAAATAGCTTTCGTAATGGCTGCCTTAGTCATATTATCTTCGCTGCTGCTAATCATGAGCAACATTCGGTTCCAAGCAAAAACTGCAAAGGATTCTGCACGATTCGTTGAGTAGGATGGCGGATTTTTAATTAAACTTACACTAGACAGCTGGAATAGTGTAATTTGGGCTCAAGCGATACACAAATTATATTTGAAGTTATTTCATCAATTTAACAACCATTTTTTTAGCATGCAAACAATGCCTTCAAAAGAATATAATGTTAATCAACGCCATTGTTGGTTTAAGCCGACAAAGATGATAAACTACTGAACACTTAGGCTAAGGCCAAACTCAAACAGCATTCTGCATAAACGTTTACCAATTGTTCAACTTAAACATAAAATATACGGGTACATTTTATTAAAATTCTACATTAAATGTTATATCACTTGAGATCGCAGGAACCGTCTGACTTTTTTGATAATAACTATCGCATTCACTTGCATCACGTAGTACAGTTCTTATTCTCTCCGTAGAGCACTCGATACTCTGGCTCAATTGTTTTCTTGATTATACGGTTCATCTCCTTGGCGTATTTTTGACGCACCGGATTTAGCTTCGAAGTCTTAATGCCGGGACTGTGCACTAGAAAGGCAGGATGCAGCACATGATACTCGTAGCCCAACAGGCACATGGCGAGGCCCTGCAAATATAAAGAATTTTAATAAATCTCGAACTAATATTTATTTAGGCCGATTTTGAGCCACGATAAATATAGATGAAGCGAAGTTTAACAAACATTGACAGATTTTAAAATGTTTTACTGCATTTGATTTGCAAGAATTCCTATAAATGATTTTTAATATGTTTAATAATGTAATGGACTCAACTCTAAGTAAGAAAAACCTTCTGGATTAATACAACATATCATTTGACAAAAATTCATTAGATTAGATTAGATTGTTATGGCATTTCAATTTACAATAACTTCATTGTTTGGTTTTTTTTTAAAGTAGTACCATAATTAGCGTACATTTTGTTTGTTTTTATGGTTTATATGGTTTTTCTTGCGATTTTAATACCAACCTGTATTCGCTTGTTGGATTGTCCCTCCCACGTGACACGCTCATCGAAGATTGGCTCTGTATTGTCGCTGACGTAGAAGGGCTCCCAATATTTGTAGACGCCCTGGCGCAACGTCTTGCTAAATAGTTGTAGGGGATCTGTGGGGTTAAAGGCTCGATTTATCCAGCTTTTGTATTCAGGCACTTTGTGACAGTTCTTGCAGATCTTCGCATGGAAGATCTGAGCTCTCCCCTTGCCCAACAACGTTAACAGTTCGGATTTATCGTTTGGCACAGATTCGTTCTCATTCACCTCAAAAACGGCAAGGGGATAGACTCGGCGGGCCTGATCTGGCCTCAAGGCCAGCACACTGTTGTTGAGGGACACCATATCCAGAAATTGGTCCACAAACCCTAAGCTCGGATATAGTTCAATGTCGCAGGCGAATATGAAGTGTGTATTGGCCGCCAATCTGGCGATATTGCGACCTACATTAATGGGATAGGTCATTTTGGCCTGCACCTTGTACATAGTGGAACTGTTCTGTCTATAGGGCGGTTCGAGCAGGGTGCCATTGGCTTCCACGCATTGGTAGGGCCAGTTCAAGGCCTCCTCCTCGTCATAGGGGACATAGTCGGGCATATGATTGTGGGAAAAGTAAATGTGAAAGCTGACAAAATCGCTGATCATTTGGCTGCCAGGCAAACAGTTTCTCACATACTGAATGGCATCCAGCGTCGAATTTAGATCATAGCCAGGCGTGTGAATCGCAAAACTGATTGGTGCAAACCATCTGCAAATTGAGAATATTCATTTTATATATATGACGAATAGACCGATAAGATCTAACTGGGCTCTCTTCGAAATGCAGTTATTCCAGTAATCAATGAGTACTTTTCTACTCTATTATATACTCTATATCTAACTTATATGCCAATTTAAATATATGCTTGATTAGCAACCAATCATACGATATGAATTGTATTTACTTATGGTCGAAAGACATAGACGTCAATCGACTCTTGAATTGTATCTCAAATCATAATTGTTATCAAATCAAATTTTTAGACATTTTTTGATAAGGAAATAAGTTGTAATCAAAATAGCTATTTTGTGCTAATACGAATTTAACATGTTTATACCCAGGGGATATTATAATTTTAGCCTGACACGTTTAACGCCAGTTTATAATTTAGATATGACCAGATTAACTCATCTCTAAAATGTGTGCCGAAGGTAGCCATTGTTGAATTCAGAATTAAGTGTTTTACCACCCACAAACAAACAAATTTAGATAATTTTTCACTTTCCTATCAGTTTCACTTAACAACCTCATTATAAAATGTTTAAAACTGTGGGTTATACAAATTGCAGAGATCAACAGCTTATTTTTTGTTAAAACTCGAGATATTTCCAGCTTGAAACAAATAAAACAAAATGAAGATGCTCAAGGGGAATAGATAAGAATTAAACATTTTACTCACCGCTCTGCGAGCGTTTCCAGATTATCAAAGAATGTGAAGTCGCCATTTGTAGTGTACGTGATTGACTCGGCACAGCCCATGTCCCGACTCAGTCGTCCCACAACCAAATTCTGAACCACCCAATAGTCGCCATGTTTCACTTTCTGCAGACTCAGTTGACGATTGCGGCATTTGAGTAGCTGCTGCAGCTTTTCTGTACGTGGCGATATCCACTTTGGCTCTTCGATGCTGGTCGGTTCGGTGATATCCAAAAGAGTAACAGGGGCAACATCAGCAAATTTCAATTGCCGCGCCTCTTGTAGATTTCGAAGAAGGTACAGTGAACTCAATGCGATGAGTGCTAGGAGCAGCAGAAAACGTCTATTGACCTTAACACCCATCGATGTAGAACCACTTGGTCTGATCTTAGGCTCAACACTGGATCGCTGGATACACGAGCGCAAAATTAGAATGCAACAATAACGACTCAAGTGTCAGACATATATATGTTTTAGTTTTTAGCTTCGGATCGTTTAAAAGCTGTCACACTTGCAATGATAAATTGCAGTTCAACTCGCCTCTCATTACCATGTGAAATACTAAACACCAATACGTGCTAAACTCGTGCACCCAACTGAAATGAACTAAGTCAAAACAACGGGAATGGCTATCAGGTTGCGCACAATGTGTCTAAATATTGAGATATTATGTTATGTTTCCAGTTAATGATAATTAAGTATATATTAAAAAATATAGGGGTTATTTTAAGCAACAAACGAATCGAAAACAATTCGGATTTGATAGCTAAGCATGAAATTCATAAACATATAAACATGTTATTTTTTTCATAACTATTTTATCAACATAATAAAACCGGAAACCGAACCGCGAGCGACGAAAGATGGATGGCAACTAAACTGACCGTACTGAATATTATATGGTAGACGTACTGGAGGAGCTGCGATAAGCAGCCGTCAATCAAAACTTTAGGATAAGTCTAATCTAACAATGGAATAAAAGAGAATTACACTTTCACAATTTATGTACTTATTACTTGTACAGCATATTCTACAAATAATTATACACATATATATATATATATATATATATATATATATATATATATATATATATATATATATATATATATATTTATTTATTTATTTATTTATTTATTTATGTAAATAAGTTTCGTCTAGGTTATATTGACAATTGCATTTGTATTGGCCAGTTTGCTGGCACAAGTGTTTTCTTCTCCATCACAATTGAAATTATTTATCTAGTTGGTTGATCTGATGACTCTAAAGCACAATGACCAATCTCTCGCATAAAATTGTTTATAAATACGTTAATAAAATATTTGACATTAAGAAGATAATAGTTGAATTCTATCATGTTGTTCATATTAGTATTCAATTATTTTTAATTATCTTATAATCTAAGCTTTACAAATAAAACCAGTTGGTTGAATCTATCTGTAAATTTCTACTCATTTACATAATTTTATTTGTTTTAATCATTTTTTGTATGCGTTTTTAATGCTTAATGCCCATGGTAAAATATTATTCATGCGATTTATGAAATTTCTGCGATTTTAACTTCCTTTGTTGCTGATAATGCTACAATTGGTTGACTTTAATCATTAATGCATGCATTACACATGAAAAATATATACAAATGTACAAAGAATATCATTAAAATAACGCGGTATTAATTGAGAAAATACCGATGTGAAAGCAAAATTAGAAAAAAGAGAAATAAATATTTCAATTCAAATTATCTTGATTTGTCAAATAGCTAGCAAATAATGAAATTAAAAATGCAGTTTTAATTTATTTTTGAACATGGACTATTTGAAGGCGACCCACTGTTCATTTTATCATATATTATACACCTATAATTAGAGAAATAAAATAATATTTATTTCTAAATGTTTAGATTATTTCGTCAGAGAACTGCGACGTTAGATTAGCTCCTATTCGTATTTTGGTAGATTACAATTAATTATTATTGTTTGATAACTGCCAAGTTATCTATATCAATCTATATCAATATTTACTATCTATTATATATTGTATATAGATACAGATATGTCTAAATAAAAACACACATTTAGCATATTAACTTTGTTGGTAACGCTCAAGCGTTGATAAGTCTTAAACAGCCGTTACGACTAGGTGGAACAATCTCATGGATGCAGCACTTAGATGAGGCCAGTTTGTGCACGCTCCAGGAGTTGATTGAGGGCCACAGGTTGCCAGCTCTGAAAGCTGCTATCGCTCAGCATACAAACATTGCGATCGATGTAACAGAATAGTTTGCCCACTCGATAAATCTGAACAAAACCAAAGAAAGAAAAATATTAATGAATAGTTCTCCCATTGAGGAAGTTTGTAAGCTGCTTACCTGTTTGCCCAATTCGCGTCGTCCTGGCAATGGGGCGAATATGATGCCCAGTTCGGCGCACTTCTGCGAGACGAGCTCCTTGAACTCCAGCTGAGCGGGCGGAGCCACATCTATGAGCATTACGGGGGCGAGCAACACAGGGGCGGGCGCTGGTGGCATGGGCGGTGGTGGGGCCGAAGTGGGTTGGAGAACCGCATCCGTGGCGCGGTGCAGCATGTCGAGGGCGCGACGCAGATGCTCCTTGATGCAGGGCTCGCGTAAGATGGCCTCACTGAACATGCTCTTCCAGCCGGCATACCAGCGTGAGATTTCGGCATAGTCCGGCGACTGATTCAGCCACATGACGAGCACCTGCATCCAGCGTGGAAAGAAATACTTATCGAGCAGCTGGGCCATGTGGGCGGCGGGTATTAGTTCGTGCCATTCCCACACCTGATGCCACAGCTCCAAATCCTGCTGCAGCGGATTGATGATGAACTCGGCGAGCACCGCCTGCAGCTTGGGTATAATGTGACGCAGCAGGAACTGCAGCAATTGTTCCTCGGGAAATGCCGTCTGCCACGGCGTGAGCATAGCCCGGGCGGACCGATCTTGAGGTGACCAAGCCTCCAATGCCACACCCAGTTTGCTGCGTATCTGCGGATAGACAGACTCCTCCAACTTCTCACCCAGCAGTCCATGCCAGGGCAAAATCCAAATGTGGATGGGCACCGTATCCGTCAACGGATCCCAATCGCGGACGCCAATCTTCAGCCGAGTCAGCACCAGTTTCTCCAGCACCGAGTCCAACACCCACGTGGGCAACACGGGCGCCCATGCGTCCAGCAAAGCGGCCATCACGGCATGCTCCTTGGGCTGCCAGTTGAGTGCGCTCGTCCGAATCGAGGGCATCACCCCGACCCAGATAAGCGAGGAGTATGGATCGAAAACGTTCCGCGATTGCCGCAGCTGCAGCTGCTCTACCGATACCGGCGCCTGATCCTCATCCTTATGCAATATGTTGCGCCAACGCTTTATCATCTCCACCGGCTGCATGGGCTTCTCCAGCGGCTGCCAATCAGCTAGTTCCCGGCGCAGCAATGGTGCTATGACGCCGCCAGCCATGTCCTCCATGCCGAACTCCTCAAACTCGGCGGGATAGTCGCGCTGTAGGTCGAGAAACAGCTCCTCCGCCTGTGACATGGTCAAGTCCGGATTCTCGCTGAGCTGATCGACACGAGCGAGCACCTGCTCCAAAGTGCTCATGTGATTACGCTCCAGACTCACCAGTTCCAGCAGCTGCTGATGCTCATGCTCCAGCGCTGCATGCAGATCCTGGCCCTCCCGCTTCTCCTTGTCGATGTTAATGATCTCCTGCTCACATTGGTTAACCAGCAGCGACATATTGTGCGCCAGTTCCGGCATGCTAAACACACTAATCGGTGAACTTTTTCCTCCGCCCGACGGCATCTGCTCATCGTAGAGCGTCTCCTCGGGCGTGATCTTGCTCTGGGCCAAGGCATGGTAGCCACTGAGGACGCGTCGCTCCGGTCCGGTCATGTCGATGACGGGCACATTGCCCAGCTGCTTGGCCAGCTTCACGGGCAGCAAGTGGTTGTCCTTGAGACTCTTAGCAATGACTTCCTCAACGGATTTATAGTAGTAGCGCTGCTGTTTGCCGGACTTCTCACGCGGCTCGACGCCGACTTTCTTCCACTTGGTCAGCTGCTCCTTGAACTCCCTGGCCTCCTTGATGTCGTCGTCTTCTTTCGGGGGTTTTGCCTGGCCGCCAATGCTGGCCGCCGTCTCCGGTCCGTAAGCACCAATGGCACCTCTTCCCTTGCGCACATGCGCCTGCACCGGCTGCTGGATGCCCTGCAGATCCTTTCCCAATCCCTTGCCCGGCTCATAGCCCATCTGCAGCAGCAGCTTGGCGCCAATGCCACGCGTATGTTGCTCCCAGGCACCAACATTCCGACCACTTGCAATGTGCGATTTGTGGCGCAGTCCAGCAATGTTCCGGGACCGCATCTGCTGCTGCTGCTGCTCCCTCTTATTCTCTTCACCATCGGAGCTATCCGAGCTGTAATCCTCGTTGTTGTCCATCAGCTGCGGCTGCTTTCCCCCAAACGATGGACGTGCCTCGTTGCCGTCGCTGTCCTCCGAATCACCAGCTGGAGCCTCATCTTTGTTTGTGCCCTCCTCCAGCTGCTTCTTCTTTGGCTGTTTGCCAGCTTGTTGAATGCCGCCAGCAACGAAATTGACGGGAGCCGTGTAATCCTTTGCTTTGTTGGCAGCGCCGCCGCCCAGGCCACGCCTACCGCCACGTCGACCGCTGGCTTCTCCCTCGCTTTCATTGTCGCTGTCATCGGCCCAAATGCCTGGAAAGGAAAAAAGAAAACAAATTGAAAACAAACAAATTTTGTGTTTGCTTTTGCTTACCGTAGATTTGCTGATGTTTGGTTTGACGACGGCGTGGTCGATTTATATTGAACTCGTTGTCCAAATCATAGTCCGTTATTTCAAAGCGCTCATATTCGTTGTCCGACATTGTGCATTTCTATAAATATTCAAGCTAAAATCAATATTAATATTAAGCAGACGAAAACGTTTAGATGCGTTTAAGATTAGTGTTGCAAAATGTGCAAAATGTAAGAATACAGATTAAGCGGTTCGCGAGTTAACATACAGTTAGCACACTGTTGTGCTTGTTATTATTTATTTTTAAAATTCTACGCAAGTTTTCGATGTTTGCTTTGGCGTCTTTTAACTGTCAAGCATTAATTCACAATAAATAATAACTTCAATTTGATATGATATTTTTTGGTGAAATGACAATTGGTACTGCTAAATGCAATCAGATGTTCTGTTAAGATCATCATTTATGAATAGTGGCAGCACTAACTCAGGAAACATACTTTGTTAGAGTCAACAGTGCATTTTGCGTATAACGACTGTATAACAGAATGTTGACAGCTGTAAAATTCAGTGATTCCGTTTGTCGGTGAACTACTCATTAATTTACTTCCTATTAATCAATATAATATGTTAATGCGAAAAATACTTTGAAGTTAACTTCTTCATCTTGTGGGTAATATGCAATTAAGAGTATAGCTCTTGATGAAAGTTTTCATTGAAAACTTTGTGTACCAAGTCTAGGCGCCAAAATCAAATATTTAACAGTTGCAGTTTTTTTAAATTTAGGAGAAAACCCGTTGTGAAATATTTTAGCTTTTAATGTATTCTTCTTCTATAATTTGTTAGTGACAAAGCGTGAATAAATCGTTGTTCACTCTTAAAATCTTATCAACTATGCTGAAGAACAAGTTCTATAGTTCGATTATCAAATCGTGGCAATCGAACTAGTTCAGTTTTGACAACAGAATTCTCGCACGTGCATTGCAAGAGTACCGATAACATAACATTGTTCTCGATGTTCTTGTTGCGTGCGGTTCGCTGTTTGGTTTTCGCGCATAAAAATCTAACGCGTTACAGGCTCGAGTTAAAGCAGCGTAAAGTGCACACAAAAACAAACACATTAACATAACTGCAACTGCAACTTCAACAACAACTGCACAGGCCGCGACGCAACAACCGCAGCAAACGCGTTTCCTTTGTGTTCTTGAGTGAACTGTTTATTGCATTTTATATTCAACACAATTGCACAAATGTACATAAATGCAAATTTCAAATACATTGAAAAGCAATCGCAAATACAGCAAGCAAAACAAAAGTGAAATTAACACGTGCGCTTAGCAATCACTCTTTCGTTCTTCTCCAACTTAAATTAATTATTGCAGTTGCTTTTACTTTTTCGTTGTCGCCGTCGCTGCCGGCGTCTATTTTGGCTGGCATTTGATTTGCCTTTGGATTAATTATTGCTTGGCAACAACAACAACTATCACAGGAACAACAAAATGGTGCAGGTTAGTAAATAACTAAGATTTGTTTAATAAAAGTAATAGCTTAAGTATAAGACACGTTTATTTAGACGACCATTTACTTGATAACTATTTCTAATTATATATTTTATCAAAGACTCAATCTTATTTTAATCTTAAGTTTAATTCCTTCGTTCAAATGGTATTTTAAGTACATCTTTAAACATTTTTAAAAACTAAAAGTAATGTTGGAAAAATGTATATAGGAAAGTTCAATTTAAATATGAGTTTTAATTACAAAAACAGTGAAAATTTGGACTACAAAATATAATAACTTCATATTCAAATCTGTTATTTTTCGATTTGCTTTGCTGATTTTAAAACTCAGTTTTCGTCTATTTTCGTCGACTTTCGAATGCAATTTATCTTGAATAGTTTTAATGTTAGTTTTCTTCCAAAACTCTTGACATACAGCAGTCACAAATAATCTCTCACTTGATATCAACTTTAAACACCTATTTACAACTTTTAAATCCTTATATTTTGGCCTGGCATATACACCATGAAACCCTTAAAAGTCAACTTACTCCGAAAAAAAAACAAACCAAACAAAAGGCAAACTCTGCACACAACCAAACTTGAAAAACTTTTCACTTTTTTCAACCCCCCTCGCGATATGCGCCTGTTCCCTGACCTTTGACGTAACTTTGTCCAACAGCATGAACAAGAACAACTTGCAACCCCACTGCAAAAAAAAAAATCCTTGTACGGGACATCAAAAACAAAAAAAAAAGAAAGAAAGGAGGAAAATATTGACTGGCTATGCAGTTTTTCCCAACCACCCCGCTGGCCGCTTGTGTATATATTTCCACCTTCTACTGTCCCAAACGGGAATCAACAACAACCACCGCACCACCGAAACAGCGAAAAAGCGGCACCAAAAATGTGTTCGCATAGAAAAACCCAATTAGATTCGTTCGGCTGTGCAGGACACGATGGGACGGAATCGCCCAAGGACTGGGAAAATTGGCCTATTTGGCCTGTATGTGTGGGCCTCTTACCCCTCTCCCCCCTGCTCCCAGTAATGAACTCGATACGTTGCATTTAGTCAATTTTCCAACCACCATCAATGAGCAGCAAACTGGAGGCAGCCAAAAAAATCATTGATATATGTTTCTCTAATTGCTATTTTGGGAGGCGATGGCATGCCCTTCTTTTTTGTTTCGAAGAGTTTGTAAGGCTTGTAAAATATCTAGTCTAAACAATTCAACAAATAAGAATTGTCCCAAATTGAGATGCATATACAATTTTAATTAGTGAGAAATTTTGATTTTCTTTTTAGAAATTCATTTAAAAGTATTGTCCAAAAATTGTTAACAAATTTATTCCGAAGTTTAAGGCAACCAGTTGAAGTTTGAACACATTTACTTTTATTTAAAACAAAAATTTAATTTCTTGCAAATCGGAACTAGATTATGATAAAAGTAAAATCTTGAATACAAACTTGATTCTATCAGAGTCCTAATAGGCCTAAAAATACACCCCGCTCGCGTATACCCAGCCTAGCCATTCATGTGCGTACAGGGTATTTAAAAAAAATAACTAAAACGGTTCGCCTACCTGTTCCGAAAAATGATTGAAGTTCCACTTTTCGATTTGATATGCGTTTTGCAACTGTCCACATACACACACACACACACACACACTCACACACACTCACACACACACACACACATATATGCTCAGTTATAAAAGCACACACACATACGGCTATGTCAAAGCGCATTTTCCACATTTGCATTTTGGCCCGGCTCTGTCAATGGCTGTGCGGCGCTGGCTGGGCTGGGCAGTTGTGGGGGCTGACGAAATCCGGCTGCTCTCGAACATTTTCTGATGTTTGACTGAACTTTGCTGTTATTTCTGCCTGTTTAGTCGGCAAAGTATCTAAAGCAGTGTGTGTGTGTGTGTGTGTGTGTTTGTGTGTGTGTGTGTGTGTGTTTGTGCTTGTGTGAGTGATGTAGGGGGAATAGACCCATATCAGTGTGCACCACGAAGCGTTACCCAATCTACTGAAAATGCTCGAGTTATTTGTAACGCTGCTCACGCAATTTTAGCCAGTTTCCTGGCCACGTTGTAAAATGTGCAATGTGCAGAAAGAGAAAGAGAGAGAGAGAGAGAGGCTACAATGCATTCTGAGATAAGAGTGCTCCCAATTATAATGAAAGTTATTGAAGGCTTCAGTTAAAAGACCAAGCAACTGCATCTTTCAAAATTATACCGGAATACATTTTATATTTGTAAAGTTGAATTTGTCTCTTGGTAACAATTAACATTTTTCGAATAACAATTTTTTTCTCTGAAATAGCTTATATTCTTTTTAAAATCAACAAAACGTTCCTCATCATAATTATTAAATACAAAATTTAATTTTGTATCTATACATTTCATTTGTGCTATCCTACAATTTTATTAACGAAAATTAATCAGTTAAAAATCGTAATTTAATTGGCAAAGTCTTGTGTTTAAATGTTTTTATAATGTATGTATGTGAAATGCGTATTTGTAGGTTTTTGCCAGTTATGTGAAAACTTGAAAACATATAGCATCGCTCTTTGGTGAGTTCGGCAAATAGATTTTTGGTTTGTGAGCATGTTTCCGTATTTCTCTATGCGTGCAACGCACTCTCTCTCTACCACACCTGTCTGCCCCTTCTTTACCCAGTGGCAAAAGTCAGTTTGCTTCGATATTGGTGTTGCCAAAATGCCAGGCAAATTCCATTTTTTTATTTTTTTTCTTTTGAGTGCTGTGTGGAGGAGTGCAGAGAACTCCCATTAAAGCGCTTTATATTTCAATTAACAAATGCATTTAGATGCTGCGTGGCAATTGCTGCAGGCTGCGATTGGAATACAGATTCCGATCAGAGCGATTCAGACGAGTGGGTACTGCATCTGCATCTTCATCCTCATCGTCCGTTATTTCAATATACTGTCTGTTGGTAGCTGGCATCTGCACCAGCTCCGCACAGTGGTCGTCGCTGCTGCGACGCTTTGCAAATTGGTGAAGCGAACGCAACTCAGTCAACGCCTCGGAGCTGTCAGACTGAGCTCGAAATCTGTGCCAAAGATCGCCCAAAATGCGCCAGGGCAGCAGCAACCCTATGCAGTACCAGCCACAACGTGAATGATTCGAGGCGCTCAACAGCAGCATATAGGAGAGCAATTGGGGCAGGTGGCGGTCCATGAGTCGCACCCAACGATGATGCCACAATCCGCGAAGACGTTGGCACACCTTCGTTAGCAGCCAAGCGCCGGCAACCGCAGCAAGAGCCACACTTGTTGGATACTGTTGCAAGACCAACATAAAGTTGACCCACGACGGTCGGCAGCTTTGCAGAGCGACGAACACAATTGTCTGACCGATCAAATGGATGCCCAGCACCATGGCCATGAAGTAGCTACAGATCAAGCAATCGCCCTACATCCCAGTCGTTGTTGTTGTTGCCCAGAGCACCAGGCCAGCAAGGAAGCGTGCCACGCGCATCTTGTCGCATCTCACCTGAAGCAACGTAATATTATAGGCCTGGTCCGTGTAGATGCCATAGCAGGCGTGGTCATGCGAGGGCATTGTAATATGGTGCAGCCGCTGTCCACTGCGCGCCAGCAGTTTATCCTCGAGCCTCTCACGATTCTCGCTATGCGCCCGATGCACACCATGTGCCGTTGCAGCCCTGTACTGCCTGTAGTCCACATTGGACGTGTATGGCATCAGCTGTAGTTGCTGTCGATTGCTCTGGAAGATGTTGCCCAGCCGCAGCTCCTGATTGCGACGACAATAGATGTGTATGTGATTCTGCGAGTAGAGCACCTGCAGCCTCAACAAAGAGTCTTGCACGTGGGGAATGTCCACGTGCAAATAGGTGATCAGCTGCTCGTTGAACTGATCGTTGTACAGATGTTGAGTGCTGCCTTTGGTTGCCAGCAGTGCAAGCAGCCAAATAAATGCAATCATTATTCCAATTTGCCGCTGTTCAGCTTTATTAAAATATATAAGTTAGTTTTTGAACGGTTTTAGTTTCAATAAGGAATATGTCAAATATATTTATAAAACAAAAGTAGGTCTTCAAACCATTTGGCCTACTTGATTGTATCAAATCATATCACATTAAATACTCGAAAAGGATATAGCCATATAAAATATGAATAACAATGCAAACTAATTAGCTATACAAAATATGAAATACATTTGATTTAATCTCGCGTTGTTTAAGTTTTAAAATCAGCATACTTTTTACTTTATTGAGTTTTTCAATTAATTTCCGAAAAACAGATAGAAGCAATTCCTATTTTAAGAAATTGTTTTTCGTGCATCTTGAAGTTACTTCTAAAAACAAGAAAAAATTCTTTGTTTATTATTTAATTTATTAAGCTGGTTGCAACAATGAAAAATTACTATCAATGCTGCTGTGTTGTCTGAGTAAATTTGTTGTTTCGTTATTAAATACGGTTGTTGCTAAAGCCTTTGGGATTTTGAGTTTGATTTAGACTTAAATTGCCTTAAATTGAATCATAATTGATTTTGCTGAGACACAATAGACGACAATACTCTACTTATAATCGGGCAAAATAAGTGTAATGAAGTAAATTAAACTTTAAATGGGGCGTCACTGCAATAAACCTTACAAACTGAATAATTGATGACCAGCAAGCATTTGTTTTTCTTTGGATTGCCACACACAAACATCATGTCTCGCCTCCACTGATGGCTTTCGACTCTGCAACCTACTCAAAACAGAGTTTACACTTTGTAGTCGCCTTTCAGGCGTGCAACAACAGTCGTATGCTGTGGCACATTTTTGTTTCTAGTACGTATTAAATTTGAATTGTACAGCAATTTATTGTTAAATCATGGACCACAGGAAATCTACAATTTAGAGAATATTTTAAAATGCAAAATATTTCAATGTCAATATCTTGCTTGGAAAATATTTTAATTAGCCTTAACTGGAGTGAAGAGTATTCTTTTGCTATGTGTCGTCCAGACACATTGACATATTTTCCATTTGAAAATCGAAACTACAAATTCGAAATCAGAGAAGATAAATACTAAAATGAAGAAAGTTGAATCACATATTCTAATTTCTACTCTTTTCATGTAGTTTCGAAATTCGACCGATGTATATAATAGATCTTTCGATCTATATTGTTTCATATGTACTCCAGTGTTTTGCTCTCTCTCTCTCCCACTCTCTATATGTCTCTTTCTCTCTCTCTTTTAATTTTTGCCAGTTAGCTTTTAGACATTGCCAGTCCCTTGTGGCACATTTTTATTCTCTGCTGCTTCGTCGTAGGTGCACTTTTCCATTGTGTCTTTTTTCAGCTGCATACTACGAGAACAAACTAACAATGTGTCTACGTAGTAACAAAAAAAAAAAAAAAAGCTCCTAGAAACTCCCCCAGAATTTGGTTTACAAGTCAGGGCCAAACAAAAAAGTAAAAGAAATTCCTGGTCATTCTATCAAAGCGCAAGTCGCAATAAGCAAAAAAAAAATAAAGCGAGCAAAAACTCTTAAAAAAAAGCCAAGGCAAACGAAAATCTACGCACAAAGTGGAAAACAGGCAAATGCAGAAGACAAAAAAAAACCAACTGAATTTGCCACAAAATGGAAACGAACGCAAAAGACACATAGAAGCAGGAGGAAGAGCAGAGGAAAAGATATGTGTGGAAAATGGTGTTTGGGGAAACTGAGAGAGGAGGCGGTTATAGGAAGAGATAGCGACTGCGAGGCAAGCAGTCTTTTTTTGCGTTATGGACCAAAAATCGAACTGAAATTTGTGCAATTTTTTTGCAGCTGCTGCTGCTGTTGCTTTATAGTTTGTTGTTATTGTTATTGTTGCTGTTGGCTGTTGGCTGTTTCCCTGTGACTGTGGCCACCCATTGCTATCCTTGCGTTGCGTTCGTTTTGCTCCACGCTGCTGCTTTTTGGGCCTCATGCATTTTCCGTGTTTCATTTTGTGCGCAAAATAAATTGGTAAACAAGCGAGGCACGCATAAGTGCGACAGGGACATTAATCGAAAGATAGAGAGAGACAGAGAGAGCCAGTGCAAGTGTGTGTGCTATAGAGTGAGTGAAAGAGAAGGCGCCATGCACTGGAGTGAGCATTAAGAGTTGCCTGGTCAATGGCAATACATGGCCGTATCCAATGCTCTCGTACATAGCCGCTTGCCACATTCACATCCACATTTCCATATAAGTATGCTATGAGTGTGTGTGTGCGTATGTGTGTGCAAGTTGCCCCCTCTGTGTATCTGTATGTGTGTGTGGCTGTATGTGTGTGTTGTGTTTTCTGTGATGCTGTGTGCACATTTCATTCTGGACTGCATTTTAGTGCCTGTCCATTGTTTTTGGGGTGACAGTCTTTCGCCCACTCTCGCATGCTGCCCAGCCATCGAATTTGCCCCAGCTACAGCTTCTCCTCCAGGCTCCTGACTCCCGACTCCTGCATGCTGCATACTGCATGCAGCATCGCCATCTCTCCATATAGATGTATATTGTGCATATTGTGCGTCTGTTTGCCTGTGTGCGTGCCGCGTGGGTCACATGCAATGCGTGGACGTCGCTGCCGCGCTTTTGCCTCCCTTTTTCTCCGACTCTCTCTCTCCCTCTCACACACTCTTTCTCTCTCACTCTCTCCGTGTGTGTGTGTGTGTGTGGCTCTGCCACGGCTTTTTTCCAAGTCCACGTCGTCGTCGCGACTCTTCCAACGAGTGACCCACGCCTCCTCTCCATTTACTCATGCTCTTGTTTTTCGGCCGTTGCATTTTTTACATTGCCTTTTTGCACTGTGGAATTAGTAAACAATTCAAAATTATTTCAATATTATTGAATTATCTATTCTATCTATCCCTATGGATATATAATCATTAAATAGTGTAACATTAACAACTCTTATATATATTTAGCTATAGACCCTTTTTCTGTAATTTTTAAAGAATTATCACATCGGTTCCAGGGCTGTGACCCATATTGGCTCGAGGATGCTTGACAATAAGTTTAGCTGAGACTTCAGGCATAAACCCGGTTAAATACGATAAATTCACAATTAAAATAAATTAAGAAAAACAATTAGGTCGAAAAAAGGTGAATGGAATATTTAACATATATTTTACACCTAAAATGATGCTGAATTGTTTAATTTACAAAACTTATATTTGATAACATTCATAATTTTGTCACTTTTCCATTAAATTAAAATTATTTCGATCTGTTTAAGTTTAGAAGTATTTAATAACAAATAGTAAAACGTAATTTAATTGTTTGAACTCTTTTCTTTTTTGAAATTCCAGGTAAGCCACAAGTGACAACTGCATAACACATTTGCCCCACTGTGCCAGTCCAATAATCAGAAGCGAACGAGACGCGACGCTGACGCTGCTGCCGATGTATCCGAGGCTGCCGCTGCAGTCGCAACAGCCGCAGTCGCCACTCGTTATGTGTGCCAGGCAAAAGGACAAACGCATGTGTGCTCAGTCGGCCCTGTCAGCCCACCCGACAGTAGTTGGCAGCCCCACTCAAGCCTTGCCCCAACAGCAACAGCAACAGCAGCAGCAACAACAACACATGTTGTGTGCACAGTACATAGATGTGTGAGCGAGAGGCAGACAGTGCCAAATGTAAAGCGAGTGCGAGCGAGTGAGCGAATGTCGAGCCTATACATAAAATGGCGTTGCATATGAGCAGAAAAACCAATGCAGCTGTGTGTGTGAGTGGGCAACTCTCTGCGGATGCGGATGTGAATGCGAATATGTGTGTTTGTGTGTGTGTGTGTGTGTGTGTGTGTATGTGTTGTATATGTGAGCCTACGCAACGGTAGCTTTTCTCTGCTGCTCTGCCGGTTGCTGCTGCTTCGGGTTCGGCTGCACCTCAAACGCAAAGGCTAAACGCATTGAATGCGTATCGAGTCCAAGTCGAATGTTGATTGTATTAGATTGCCACAGAACCTGCTGCCGCTCGCTCTTTCTTCGCTGCCTCTCTCACTCTCGACATGCACTTAAGTGATGGGACTCTGCTTCAGGCTACATGCAATGACAACACACACACACACATATAGATACATATACAGGGAGCAAATTGAATAAACTCCCAAAATCAAATTGTTCACCACTTTTGCTGAACTGACGTGACTGCCGGCTGCTCGCCAGATACACACACGCACGCACACACACATCTATACACACGTGCAACCCGCCAACCACCCTCTGGCATCCATATTTGCCATTTAAAGGGTCAATGAAATGCAAAGGTTATGTTAGCATCTCATCCATATCCACATCCATGCCCATTTCGATCTACTCGTCCTCGTCCTCGTCCTTCATTGATTGCTTGCCCGTTTTTAGTTTTAATCGGGCGCCTTTCAAATCAAATTTTTTTTTTGGGCGGACCCAGTTTTTATTTATATTTATTGTGGCGTTTCTTGTGTAGCTAATCTTTCTCTCTCCCTCTCCCTCTGTCCCTCTCTCTATCTCTGTATATTAGCTTTGATATTGTAGCCAAAGTATATTTGCCTTCTGGTCAATCTCCAGTTTCGAGTTCCTAGTTTTTATTGACCAGCTCAATTGTGATAACATTTCATTTTATGTTTATTCCTCTTCTTTTTTTCATTCGAAGTGAAAGCATGTCTAGCAATCATGGGCATTTCAATTGCAGTAGACAGTAGTTGGCTGTGCATGGTTTGGAAAAAAAGAGGAATTGATTAGGTCGGAAAATGGATTGTGTTTGGCATTACATATACATTGTAACAAGAAAGTTCAAATCTAGGCCAGATGGGATGTTTAAAAATGAAAGGAATGTACACTGCTCCTTGTAGAATTCACAATAATAAATAGAGGAGCCTTTAGATAGTTTTTTTTTACTTAAAGTTCAATTGGAGACATGACAGATAATTAGTCCTAATTATTAATAATATGCGAATTTTCCATAAAACTAATTATAGATAGGATACATTTTGGAATAGTTTGTAATAAAATAGATTTATGTACCAATTATTACAAAAAGGTTGCCTCAATGCGCAACTCCCATGTTCATTTACAGGCATTGAGCCCACAACAGTTGCATTACAATATTGCCATTGAGGCCACAACAAGAAGGAACACCTTGAATCGGATCTGGGTTTTGTTTCTATTGTTCAATGTTTACCTAACTTTCTGACAGCCTTTTCGACGGCCTACAGCTTTAGTCAATGGAATTGAGGCAAGAATTTGGTTAAAGCTGCCCCAAAAAGAGCCAGGCAGTCGGACATGGCAAATATAAAAGGCCCAGAGAGATATACGCACACACACACACACTGAAAATCACACATTGTTGGCCGCAAAGTAAAGGCAAAATGTAAACAAAACAATTTTACCTTCATTAGACTTACGTATAAATATTAGACTGCTGCCTCTGCCACCTACATATGCACATACATATATATATATATATGTGTGTGCTTTTTTTCATTTGTTTTGAAGGTCAAATTACGATATGGCACACACAAAAATGTGTCTAGCACCCTGGACAACATTTAATATACTATGTGTATTTATTAAATGGAGCAAAAGTTGTAACAAAACTTTGACCAGTCTGCATGTTGGAGTATGTGTGGCTAGGCGTATGTGTGTGTGTGTGTGTGTGTATGTGTGTGCGGGGTATGTGTGAAGGACGCCAGACGGTGTGGCTGCAAATGTTTTTATTGCAGCAACTTTCTAAAACTTTTGCAACATAGACCCAGGCGACTTGACCTACTGACAGTTTGTGCAAATTTATTTGTTCCTGCCAACCGATGAATACTTGAATTAAAAATGTACACAGCATAACAAAGGATGCTTCTGTAGAGACAGAAGCGACTGTATTTATGTATCTATGTGGTCTGCTGTGCTGAGATAAATGCCACAAAAATATTCTTAAGGTAAATATGCAAGGCATGTTTTTAAGTAAGAGCTGCAAAAATAACCATAGATAAATGTACACCGTTTCTACTATGCATTTTCTCAACACAATCCACCTCAAAAGTGAATCTCACAGAAATAACTTACTCTTAAAGCAGAGATATTTGTACAAATGGACGAATAGCCAGACAGGACATAAGAATGAGAATCATGAGTAAGTTACTTGGATCAAGACTAAATGACATAACAATTCTTGGACTGGTGTTTTGTTGTGTTTTTGATTGTTTCTAATTCTCTACTACTCGTAATTAAATTATTATAAAATCGGGTTCATTTTGCTAAATACTTCATTTATATGTGAGCAGTTTGCCTCCGTTCTGCAAGGGTATGAGCTTCAGATAGTTTAATTCGAAATTCAACCAAAACTATGTTGGTTTCTCGGTTAGAGCAGATTAAATAATATTAAACAATCTTCAAAGTTTATATGAAACTGCAATGAATAATGTAGTCGTTAGTCACACATTTCAATCAATTCGATTGAAACTAAATGAACATTATTTCATAAATTTAAAAATAGAAATTCAGGTATGTTGCTTTGACTGCCAATTACTTACATTTTTCACATAGCCTGCATATTTTTCAACTTCAAACCTTGGCCTTGACTTCGATAGTTTCCGTATACATCTAAAGCTGGCACAATCAACAAGTTCTCAGCAATTTTCACGCACACTCAGCCGGCAATTGCAGTGAGTAAAAGTTTACTTTTTTGAACATTTTATGCAACTTATATAAATGGCAGGCGACACTTTAGCCTGGCCCGCCCACAAAATACCCACCGCCCACGGCCCACGGCCCACAGCCCACAGCTGCCGAGCGTTGGCCTTTATGTATTTTTCTCTTCGTCATCGTTGGCGTCGTCGTCGTCATCGTCGTCGTCGTCGTCGTCGTCGTCGTCGTTTTCGTTTTCGTATTTGGCAAAGATAAAGTTTTGTAATAAAAATGTCTGCTCGTAGACACCGGCGGACAGTCTGCCAGACAGTCGGTTAGTTCAACGGGCAAGAGAGTGGGGCGGAGATGAGAGAAAGGAGGGGCTTGCTCTGCCCAGCCAAGCCAACCGGGCAGACATTTTGTCTAGCAATTTCCAAGCCCAAAGTGTGTCAGTAACTTTGCCACGTCCTCGACTTCCTCTTCCTCTTCAGCGTCGCTGTCGTTGTCGTGAACCTGTCCTTGTCCTTGGCCCCACTCAGACACACACTCTCAGATATTTTTATACATTAGGGAAAATGGTAGGCGGGGGGTGAGGTGTGAGGTTGGTTGAAGAACTTTCGCTTTAGTTTTGCGCTGGTTTGCATTTTATATTAAGGCAAACATCGGAAAACTTGTTGACAGTTATTTAAATTTGCTTACTCTTGAGGAGTGAAAAACATTTCGTTTTTATAAAAAAAAAAAAACATTTTAAACCAGTATTACTTTCTGTTCTCTTAAAGTATTGTTTTTTATCTCACCTATTACTTTTAAAATTGGTATTGTTTTTAGTTCGATATCCGTTAAAAAGACTTTTTATTAAGTTTGTTTTTGGTAGCATTTGAATTTCGTTTTAAACAATTTGCAATTTAGGACAACATTTAAGAACACTATTTCTATATATATATATATATATAGTGCAACGCGTGCCTAACTCTTAAACACATGTTTTATTACAATACATGTACAATATGTAGTATGTTTTCTTTTTTGTGATTTGTTCATTTGTTGTTGGGCTATTTACATTGGTTGTTATTATAATAATAATAATAATAATAATAATAAATGTACTAAACATGTAAACTCATTTGATTGCTTAGACTTCGTTCATGAATGCGAATGCTGTGTGCTATGTACTATAAATATTTGTGAGACACCCTTTAGACCTTATGTTTTAGTACAGTCCCACATTGGGTTGCCATAATTTAGTACTACACGCAATATAAAAAACCACTTTATTACCTTAATTAGTACAACTCGCTGAAAATCCCCGGGCAACCCAATTGCAGTCTGGCTAACAATGCGATGATGAGTTTATTTTCAATTTGTTTTTGTTTTTATAATGAGAGTCTGCGACATGCGAGTGATATGCTTCCGATAATTATTAAATTATATAGATACTATGACAATATACATACATATATAAAATCGCCTAAGGGGAAATGCTAATACACTACTACGCCTAGAATGTAGACACCAACCCACTACGCCTTGCGCCTAATGCCCACCAGGCATAGCACAAAGAAGATGATTGTCCAGGCGGCCATCACAAGGAATCCGTTGTAGACCTTCGCGTTGGTGATGCTCCAACCCTTCTCGATGACATTTCGTGCCGATATCGAGGGTATGGTGAATGGCAGCACCATTACCAGATCCTGCAAGAACCGTGGCATGCTCTCCAGCGGCCACAGCAGACCTAAAATACGCAAAAATCTCAAGACACAATACTTTAGATACTTGAAGACTTACCGCATAGTATTATCATGGGATAGAAAGCGCCTGTGGCCACAAAGTTAGCCTCCGTGTGCGATTTGCAGAAAACAGAGATAAACAGACCTGTTTAAACAGTCACAAATTAGTTGTTATATCTTACATAATGAAAGCCACACGCTGCTCTACTTACCGAACAACATGCCACAGAAAGCTGTTAGCGTTAGCAGTCCTATCAGCGTGGTCGTATCTCCATTGTTATACGTATCGAATACGATGCCAATGTACATGATCACCTCAAACGATTGCAGTGTCATAATTATCAGCTGGGTGCACAGATGTGCCCAAAGCATTTCGGTTGCCGAGACACCAGCCAGCAAAGTACGATCCCAAATGCCATCCATGCGCTCTGATATGAAAACAGCAGCCGTCATCAAAGTAGCCAGGAAAAATACCATGCTAAAGAGAGTGGTAAAAGTTATGTTGCAATTATTCATAAGTACGACAATTGCATAAAATGAGATTGTTGTTTTAAATAGATAGATAGATTAAGTTCAAACAAATAATGATTTAAATCCAAATTAATAATGATGAAATCAGTTCGATTAGGAATCAAATGGAAGTTAAATCAATCAAAGAAAGATTCAATTCTATCATATTTAAAGGATAAAATGAACTTAATTAGATAGATTATGAATGAAATTTAAACTGTTTAACTTGAATCACGATTAATTAGTCTTCAATGTAAATTTTAGTATGCAAAATGATTTATCGAATTAAGTCGATTAGTAATGCATTTAAGTTGAATTGGTTGTTAAGATACTCACGTCATTACCACACCGGGTGCACAGTACTGCTGGAACTCAATGTCCGTACTGCCGTAGATGGGATCCTGGAACTGAACGGGCAGCTTCACCAGCGCCGAGGACACATTGCAATCGCGAACAACTCCGTTCATGAAATCGCTGAACTTATCCCGCAATTTGCGTTGCATATAGTAGGCAACTTGTTGATCTGCAAACGCAATTAAATAGCGATAATTCAGGGATAGATTATAGAACTCAAGCACCCACCTGTCATATCGATGTGTACAGTCAGTTCGGCATTGTCGACGGCTCCATCGCTGGCATGGATGCCATCCTCTATGAGTTCGTGCACCGATTCGCTAAAGTTGTGCGCAAAATAAATATAGCCGACAGTCAGAGCCCTTTTGGCCTCTTTGAGGGCATCCTCTTGGGAGGCGTAATACTTTCTGGTTGCTATATCGTCGCCCAGTTCGAGTATGTAGCGACAGGAGAGCTTATTAAAGTGACAGGTATCGTTGGCATTGTAAATCGTTTTCAAATTCGCATCGAAGCACTCAGAGTAGCTGTCCACCTCGCCGGAGTAGACGCCCAGCTCCAGATTTGTGGGTGTCTTGCCAATGGCCAGGTAGAAGCAGGTGAGTTGTATGATGGGAAACAGCAGCATAAAAATGATACCACTGCAAAAGAAGGCTCGGTTATGGCTATAACTATAACTGCATATTATGGCTTCTTCTACTTACGAGGGCTGCCTGAATAGTTGCACAAAATTCTTGGTCATGAGCGCCTTGAGGCGCCCTTTGGTCGTAAAGAAGACCTTCTTGCGATTCTCATTCGGTGTCTCTTCGTACGGAATGGGCGGCTTCTCGTCCGTGGTTGGGTCATGTGAATCGATCACCTCAAGTGGCAGCACTGCGGCAGGCAGCGCCACTGATTGATTTCTGTTCTGATCCACGACCTGATCCTCAGTGCCCTGGCGCTGGCTGAGTATCAAAAATGCTTCCTCAATGGATTGTGTACCAAATTTAATCATGATATTTGTAGGCGTGTCCTCGGCCAGTAGAACGCCTTTTCGCATGAGACCGATCTACAAGGTAAAAGCAGAGAAGATATAAGTCAAAACAGTAATTGGTACTATGAAAAACCTATTTCAAATTATTTGCAAAAAAAAACCATGGGTTTCCCAACATTACAAAATATATTAAGAATATTGGCAGACGGAACTACTTAAACTACGTCATTTAAAGTCTATCAAAATGTAAACGAGTTTAAAATATAAGTATTTAATTATAAAATAATAAAATGAGTGAATAAGTTGTGCAAAAGGCAGAAGGAAGCATCTTTGACCTCTACAGGTTGTATAATTGGATAGAATTGGATGAGACACACCCAAGTTACAGTCCAAAAGGTATTTGGTAATAAAACTAGAAAATATTTAACGAACTCACTCGACTACATCATTCTTAGTTGTTTGCCTAAAGTCAAAAAGGTTAAACTTACGTAATTCGCTTGGTTGGCCTCCTCAATGTAATGTGTGGTGATGATCACAGCCAATTTGCTATTTCGAGTCGTTTCCACCAGAAAGTTCCATATTCTACAAAGAACAGCTCAAATTAGTTAACATTTTCTTCATTTTTTTGTTCCTACACTAATATTTTACTTTTCGCGCAACATGGGATCGAGACCGACTGTAGGCTCATCGAGGATGAGGAGCTCGGGATCGTGGATCATGGCGCAGGCAAAGGACAAACGTCGCTGTTGTCCACCGCTGCACTCCTTGATCATTTGACGTGCTGGCGGTAATTGGAGCAGATCCTTTAGGTCTTTGAACTTCTCGCGAATGCGCTCATCTGTGAGTCCGTAGATGCGTCCGAAATAGAAGATCGTCTCCTTGACCGTCATCTCCTCAACCAACGCGATTTCCTGCGGCATGAAGCCAACACGTGAGCCGGGCACACCGCTGCCCGGCTCGCCGGGTTTGACGCCCAGCACCCGAACCTCGCCACCATTGAGACAACGCTGACCCACGATGCACGAAAGCAATGTGGTCTTGCCACAGCCCGAGGCACCCAGCAGGCCATAGCTATTGGGAGGAAGAATAGGCATGTGTAAAAGTTATCGATTGATCGATCCAATGAACGAGCTGAGCTCATTATGGATTCCACTCACATGGAGCCACGCATGACGTTCATATTCAGTTGGTTGAGCACAATCTTGGGACTCGATTTGGAGCCATAGTACTTATAACCATTGCGCACTTCAACGGCCGCCATGTTGTGTGTGTGTGTGTGTGTTGTGTATGTGCGTGTTTTTGTGTGTGTTTGTGCTCCCTCTCTCTCTCTATCTCTCTGTATGTTTTGCGCTGACGTTGCTAATGTGCTGCTTGATAAAAAAGAAAAAAAGAATATGAATATCGAGTAATCACTTGCGTCAATAAATCATTATATGGATATATATTTTATTGATTTGCGCTGCTTTATGACAGACACGTGCCAAGGCACACAAAGCGTTCCGGCTGCCAAAAATTCACAGTCCCCGGGTTCTTAACTGGTCGCTAAATTCTAATCACTCACTAAGAAACCAATAACTATTGAAACTCATTGAAGAATTTCTGAAAGTGAAAATAAAGCAAAGCAGCTGGTTACTTCCAGCTAGTGCAGTTCAATGCCCTATCTATTTACAAAGATGTTGATATTTATTTTGATTATTTCATTAACAGTCACATGAACATTAATATCAGCAGCTGACAAAACTTAATTGCAGTTTTTGCTTTCTATTGTTCCTCACATCTTAGACTTGATCTCTGGGCAAAATTTGTAAACTTTTTTTTGTTTGCGCTAATGAAGCTAAAGTCTTAAAAAAAAAACTTTAAATTATTAAATTGGCTGGTGTTTTTTTTTTACATCTTGAAGATCAACTTTTGAATAGCTGTTAATAATCTTAAATAATCATTCATTTTTAGACAATTCAGCAACACTCCGAACTGCAAAACAATCATTGAAGTCATTTTCGAAATTTTGTTTAACTCCGAAGTAACTTCAAAAGTCCGCTTGAAGGTCATATTTGTAATATTGTATTTATCAATAAGAATTAGCAGTACAAATTAACAAATAAACTACTTGACGAGTTTTCTAAAAAGAACCTTCAGGCTTTAAGTCGCTGCGGGTCATTGAAGTTTTGCTGCCGTCATCAGTAAAAATTAAAATGCTCGAAACTCGAAGTCCAACAGATTCAGCAAATATTGACAGCAGTTACAGAATACGAGGGCAAGTGAAATTTACTTTAACTACATTGCTTATGCATGTCTGTAAATGCAAATGAAAAAGTTGCTCAGAACTGCGGGCCACTCGGAAAACAACAATACGGAAAAAATCAAATGACAAAACGTCTTGAATAACAATAATGGAAACGAATACGAACCCACTTACACCTATGTATGTACGTATGTATGTTTGATGTATGTACCTACATACGTAGCTAGCGTACACTCATATATACATCAATGTCATGAAAATGCACTCAGAATTAGCAAGTAATGTTTTGTAAAATGATCAGCACAGCTAAACAGAACTGGTTAGAAATTCTTGTGGTTTGTGGTTGTAGATTTAATATATGGCTAAAGTTGTGAAGGGCAAAGTAATAAATGACAAAGTCGTCTAGACAAAAATGTCTAGATTATAAATAGTATGTAGTTGGCATAATCACTTAATTAGATAGATTCTCTTTAACCTGACTTTTAGTTAAAAAATAAAATAAAAGTCGATAGTTTGATTTAGTGACTTAAAATATTTTCCACATTTATGTAAACTGTCTAAGTCACATTATCATATTTAAGACTTTGCAACAGATCTGAACTCCGAGTGCTCTATAATTCATTTAATTTGCTGTTATGTGAAATCTATCAGCAACTCCCGCCCAAAAATCAATGACCTCGTTGTCAGACTTTGACCCACTTCGAGTGCCAGCTCATGTTTTAGTTGAAATCCGTCAAAACGCCAAATGCTAACAAACAGCATGTGAGTGAGTGGGGTACAGCTCTCTTATATCTCTGCATCTCTTAGATACATAATCAAATGAGCCGGCTAACTAGAAACAAAAACAACAACAACCAAAATAGCAACGCTCACAAGGCAAAAAGCCCATAAAACGTTCGAAAGTCAAACTCGAAAACATTAAAAACTAAATAAAAGCCTGCCCCGAAAATTGAGTAAGGTTAGTAACACAAATTCGTTGTCATAAATTTACGTATGTGTTGTTATTGTTATTATTGTTATTGTTGCTGTTTGCTTAACATTGTGGCAGATGACGCAAAGGACAACAATTTTTGACTTGATATGGTTTTAACCCAAAAGAGAGGCGTGAATATATTGCGCTTTATTATCATACGAAATTGCCATTCAAAACGAGTCAACATTAAATTCACAGATTGCAAGTGCAATAAATAAATAAAAAAATTTAAATATAAATATAAGCAGATGACAAAGGCTAATAGTGGAAACAATTTGAATAAATGTAAGAATAAAGCTCAGAGGCAAAATAAATTATGGATTAAGTTATTATGAATTAAGTCACCTGTTAATAAATGAACCATAAAAAACTTTCAACAACGACTCAAGCCCCATACAAGTTTTTAATTAAATACTTATGAATAACTGAATACATTTATTCTGCATTGATCAGATTACAATTTGCTCGTATCCCATATTAAAATGATAATCACAGACTGCTATCATTACATGCACTGCAAACTACATGCTAAAATGATAATACCCTGTGCAAGTGTAAAATTAAAAACAAAAATTAAAAAACCCAAAAAAAAACCAAAAAAAAAAAAAAGAAAACAAAAAACGCAAAGCGCAGCGCCAAAAACAAAACAACGCCAAGGTTGCCAACTGGTTAGCAGACGCTGCAGTCGACGTCCAAAGTCGGCGTTTACGTTAACATCGCGTCGTAATGCCAATTGCCGCCGCGGCTGTGTTACCAAAATTGTTTGGCTTATCGATTTGCTCTCAGTGCATACACACATACACACACACATGTGTGTGTTTATATATGTGTGGCATTTTGCTGCTCATATGCAACGAATTTAATTTGCAAATTTGCAAATGTGTTGCAATGCTTGCACTGCCGAGTCAAGAGGCCCTGAGCTGCAAAGCTGCTAAAAAGCACACACAGGCAGAAATAACGACTGTTGTCAGCAGAAAGAATTTGGAGTCACCTCTCCCTGCCAGCTATTTTGTTGTAGTCGAAACGGCTTATTTGACTCACAACCAACAAAGTTTTGGTAGTCTTCGATCGATCGATAGCTGCGCCACATGCTGCCTGCCACTGTTGGTGGGTATTTAGTTCGTGCAACATTCAGATATTGTGGATCGTCGAATTGGTCGACAGTTGCTTCCTTCTCGCTTGTCACCAGCTGCGCTGTTACCAACTGTCCACACTCTTCTCTCTTCTTTGTCTGTCTGTCTGTCTTGGTCTCTTGATTTTCAGTTTGTGGCATGGCCACTTGTTATATAATATAGCAACAATCATTTCGGCCAGCCTGCAACACCAACAGCAACAATCAACAACAACAGCTGTCTCAGTTGGTTGTCTGTACTGTTTACATCATTTACACTTATTTTATGTGTGGACTTTTAAAATTTTAGTGCCATTTGCAAAAATATTGCTTTGCAATGCTCTCCAGATGAATAATTAATTAAATGTTACACTATCTACACTGTGAGATAATTAACATAATCTTTATGTTTATAGATCCAAATCAGAATTTCTCACTCATCTTTAAGTTTTATTTTTTTTAAATTTTTAAAAATTAAATACTTTAAAGTAAATGATACCAAGTGGGTGCTAGCACATTCGTGACTTATTTTCTTTAGCTCATTGTATTCGGATGTAATTTTGTTTCTCTTTGATTATAATTTATGCATAATGCTGTGAATTTTCTTCAATTTTTTGGTTTATTTGAAATTTCTTTCGTTTCCTTTACCTTCTTATTTACTGTGTTAGTGTTGCCGTTTTGTTTTTATTTTTTTCTGTGTCATTTCGCATTATAAACATGTAACTATTTTGCTCACTTTTTAATCCCCTGTTGCTACAAAGACAAAGAGATGCATAATTATGTACCATAGGAAGACATGATTAGGCAAAAGGTCGGTTTGTGCCGCTAATCTAACGGTAAAAGTGGGTTATACAGCAGTACGATATAATGATGAGGTACAAATTATACAATCAGATAAACAAAAGAAACTGCAGTTTGGCATTTTCCTCAAATGGATTTGGCCGGCCTTTGGGTTAAACTTCTCACGTCTTAATCAATTCGATTGCCCACTCATATTTTAAAAAACCAGTAAAAATTTCAACGTATCGAATGCGGAGTTAAAACTGCAGTTAAAATAAATATATATATGGCAGTCATTGTCTGTTGCAATATTTTGCCTTGCCCAATCCCGTTCAGCTCGCTCAGCTGGCCCCAACAACTATGCCATTTCCCATACATGGGTAAGTTCATCTACTTGTGCTGTACGCTCATTTTCGAAATTTGTGTGTGTGGATAAACAAACAGAAAGGTAGCTAACAGTAGCAGGGGCAGCCGAAAAAAAAAATCACACAAAAAACATTAAAATTATGCTTTTGTTCGTTGCGTGAAGTTTAGTCATTTGTATTTTTATTTTGATGTTAGGTTTACAGTTTGTTTTTATTGCACCTTCCGCTGAGAGTTGAACATACGAGTGGTATATCACACCGAAACGAAACAGTTTCAAATAACTTCTTTGCGCATGGCCTGCTGGCTAGCTTCTTTCATTTTCTGCGTTTGCGTTTGCGTCTGCTTTTGCTGGGTTTTCTTTTGTAATTTTTGTTTTTCTTTTTTGTTTTTGTCAATAAAACACAATAAACGCACACACAAAGAAACAAACACAATACACCAATGCTGCTGCTTCATGCATTTGCGCACACGCGCCAGTCCGCGCAAGTTTGTGTCTTAAGTCTTTTGTTGTACTTTTTAAATTTTCTTCAGTTTTTTTTTTTTTTTTTTTTTTTTTTATTAAAAATGACTTTTTCATGAGGCCACTCGCTGACCAATTTAAAAGGCGGAAATTTTCTTTGTGTCGATCGTTTTCACATTTTCGAAATACACTTTAATCGAGTTTGCTCACTCGGTTCTTTAGACCACAGTTTTCACATGTCTGTTCACTTAATATAATAACTTGTTTAGTGCCTAAAATGTATACAGTATATTTTCCAATAGTTTAATCAGCTTCGTACCATTCAACGCTCTTCTAATGAACTTCTCCTTGAGCGCGCCTGGTGTGTGTGTTGCAATTTTCTTCAGCTGTGAGTGTTTTTTTTTTTTTTGTTTTTTCCTCTTGCTTTTCGCCGACTGACTACCAAGTTTGGCGGCTGCGCGCACCGTTTTGGTGTGTGTATGTGTTCACCGTTTGTGAACGCTGACGCTTCCGCTTAACCCAAGTGTCGCGACCAAGCTCCGTTTATCGACTGAGCTCCCAAAGCCGACGCTAGCCCGCTCGCAAGCTCGCAGCCGTCGAAACTTCAGCTTCGAATTGGACTTGGGGCCGGGAAGCTTTCGCATTGCCTTAGCGATGCTTTCAAAGCGGCACACGAAGAAAAAACAAAGTTGAATTTGAAATGCGAATTTTTTGTTGCTTCCTTAATACAACTTATAATAAAAAAAAGCAGCTAAAGAAAAAAATGTTAAGATAGATTGTATAAAATTTGTTAATGCGCCACAATACAGAAATGTTTTTGCTGACTTGTCATATTCATCATCATTTTTGCTTTGCCGAATATCGTTTTGGCTGATTAAAAAAGTAAAATAAACTTATTGTAGGGACAAAAATTGTATGACTTGTTACATAGTAAACTAATATAATAATATATTTTTTTCTTTGTTACAGGTATGGAAATATTTAATAGCAATTATTATTCTATGGTGAGTGTCTGCCTGATTGGCAGCTTAAGTGCGCATTTAATTTTTCATATATGGTCTCATTGCTAGGGTAAAATTCGCTAACTGAACTGTATTCAATTGCTTTATGGACAAGTTTAGATTATTTTAATGTTGAATTGTCAATAGAAATTGTATGCTGCACAGAAAGATTATGACATTAAAAAATGGTTATAGCATTACCTAAATTATTTAATTCCTATCTCACGAAATTTGTAGAATTATTATTTGCATGCAGAGCATTTACTTAAATCGTATGCTTAATTGTCGTAATAAATCCCCGGACCCCAACCTGTTGACAAAGTCACTTGTTTGTTGTTAGCTATTATCTTGTGATCTTTTCCCAGACGCGAGACCTCAATTTTGCTTGAAATTGTTGTGGCGAGTGTCCACCTTATAAAAGTTGGGGTGAAAATGCCAAACACATGAGGAGAACACATTTGAACTGTGTTTCCATGCTCAGACTGTTCCGACTAAAGTGAATTCCATTACCTTAGCATCACCTTGAGGGTTCCAAGTTTAATATAGCTCTTTAATAACATCGAGAAACTAGCTCTCAATGAATTCAATAGCGTTTAACGGCACTTAAATGTGTAATTGATGTTAATTGCTGAGCAATGAAGTCCAATCACAACTATTTTCATAAACCTTTTGATCTGTCAACACCAAACTGATTGCTTTTTAATTTCGCTAAGTAGTATTCTGATAAACACTAATGTAATAATCCACCTGCCTTGACGAATACCAACTCCGACATAATCTCCATATATTGTAACTTTTCCAGTTTCTGTTTGCACTTTGGCCCAATTTGCTCATGCGGGCATGCAAATAAACCAATTTGTGTTCCATTTAACTGCGATTCGTCGCAGACTTCATTTATTACTTTTATTATGTTTTTTTATGCAAACATTTCGAGATGCTTTCGGACGTTTTGGCTATTGTGTTTTTTTATTTTGTATTTTGCAGCACATATACTTTGTTTTGCTGTTGCCCATCTGTTGCACAAGTTTGCAAAATAAATTGGTCTGAAAAATATATATTTTGCTGGGCCATTGTCTTACTCAAGCATAAAGTTTATGACACGACACTCGACACTGTTGCGATACGAGTAGTTTAAACATTAATTTCTATGCAAAACAAGCCAAACACTCACCAAACAAGAGAGCCGCCTGAATAACCAGCAACCAGCACTCGAATTTGATTTGAGAGTCAAACGTTTTCTGCATTCATCTCTGACGCGCAGCATCAATTTTGGTGTTTTTTTTTTCAACTCTTCTTTGCATTGGATTGTTTTTGGTTTTTTTTGTTTTTTTTTTTTGTATTTTGGAGTAGCGCTTCTTTTTCGGCATCACTTTAACATATAATTTCGTGTTCAAGGCCAGCGCTGGCGCTTTCTTTTACAATAGTCGACCTTGACGCGGCTGCGACTGCGCAAGCGACAGCGCTTCAATTCGGCGCTTCAAGTCGTCCGCCGCTCCCAGTGCCCCGCTCGCCCCTGAAGTTTGCACTTTGTTATCAGAGAGCCAATAGCACGACGTACAAATTAACCCACTTAGGGTGTGTTGAACGCAACGTTTAGCTCGGCTTGAGCCGAGAGCTCCTCACCTGTTCGCGCGTTCGTCCGTCTGGCTGGCCGTCGGCTGACTTATCGATCAGCAGAGCCAGCAGCAAGCAAATAGCTGCGCTTAGACAGACGAGCTTGTAATTTTGGTTAAAGCGCCGAAAACAGAAATGTCGCAAAGTGTTTTTTTTTTCTGTTTGCATTTTGTCGTTGTTGTTGTTGTTGTTGTCGTTATTGTTGGTTGTGCAATGGTTAACTAGCCCGCCTTTGCACAACTGAAGCACTCTTTGGAGTCTCGTATTGAACTTGTGATGGGTACAATGACTTTGTGACGTTGCATATCATATGGATATGTTCACAAAACCACGCCATTGATACTCATAATTTAAAAATGGATTCTAAATGTCGAAATATTTATTGAAATCATATTATTTTGAAATAACAAATGTTTGTAAAACAGCTTAACAAAAAAAGCTTAGCTTAATCAATTTATGACTTAAATCTCAGCAAAAAAAAAAACCTAGCTTGAAAGAGTATTCAAAATCTGCATCTGCTTATTTTAAAGTCATGTTTAATTGCTGACATTTAAATAAACAAAATTTGAGCATATGAAAATGCAATTGTGCTGCGCTCCCCAACATTACTCTCTGCCTGTCTCTCAATCAATATTATTCTCTCTTCTTTGCGCTCTTACTCTTGCCTGGAATCATCTCTTTCTCTCTCTCTCTCGCTCTCTTTGTGATAATTGCAACGAGGTTATAAAGTTTTGTAATATTTTATGAGTTTATTGTGCTGACACAATATTTCAATTTAACTGCAAAATTATAAAAAAAAAAACAGATTTTTTAAATACCTGTTTTCAATTATCATGTTAAAGTGGAACTTTATGCTATCTTTGGCTAATCATCGCACTTCCTCTGCACGTTCTTTTCGTGTCTATGGCTTGTTTTGCAATTGATAACTGATAGCTGTAACAATTCAGTTGTAATTAAAAATTATTGCTAAATTAATTTTTAATAGCCACTTTGAGTTGTGCTTTTATGTTATCTTCAGCGTCTAACGTATTTATTTGTTTGTTTTCCAAATTTGTTGTTGATTGCATTTCTGGCAAAGTTTCTTTCCGTAGTTGCTGATGCGGTTCAAGGTTGCGTACTACTATGTTACCAATTATCGTGATCTGCGTAATGTAAAGCAACGTTTTCCATAGTTATTAAAGGTTGGCTTGCAGCTTGTTTAATGGGGGCATATGAAATATTACGTTAGCATAGCGACCAAAAACTGGTATTTAATTATACTTACATATGTATGTTTCAAAAGTGAGCATTCGCTGTCTTTTCTAACTCACAAAAATTCAATTTCATATCTATTGGATGACTAAGTAACATTTTGCAATTATATATTATACGAGTATATACTTTTATATTAAAAAATATAATTTTTGCAAATTACATTCACTCAATAAAGACCTAAACGATATTTTTTTTATTTAAATAAAACAAAGGAAAACCTGGTAACCCTAATTAAGCTGTCAGTACTCATTTATTCCGAAAATCAAGCTTTACCAGCAACTCTTCATGCAAAGCTTTAATTACTCTTAAACGACCCGTCTTATTTTTGAGATCTGTTGAGCCAACTCTTTAGCTGGCCTAGCAACAGGCAACTGCTAATAAACAATCAATTAGTGTGCATATGTAAACTCAAATTAAGTTGCGGCATGTTGCGTTAATCGATCTAGCAACATATTTCGACGAAAGCTTCCCAGCCAAAGCTTAGCAACAATGTTGCCGCTGCAAAAACAAAGCAGACAGTAGCAGCAACAAAGTGTAAGCAATTTAATGAGCCTCAATTAGTTTAAATGAAATGAAGCTGCGGCCTTTTGATAGACAGCGTAGACAGAAACAGCAACAACTCCAACAACGAAGCGTTTATGTAATTGAGTTCCATTTAGTGGCCAACCGTTTGGAATGTGGGAAGGAATGTTAAATATCTATTGGAGTTTACATCTGAATGCTTATGACTTTAAAGGTTAATCCAACGACAGAGTCATGAGCAACAAACTGGTGCTCAACTGTGGCATACCTCATCACAAGGGAACCCTTAAAATATGCTACATTATAATAGCAGCTGATTATACTTATTAATACACGTGTAAATGGAATTTTAATGTTTAATTGTTCTAGCTTGACAAGAATAAAACGGGTTATTTCAATGTAGGCAGTAGTCATTAAATATACAATCTATGAACTAAAATAAATTATTTATGAGCAATTTAAGCTAAGAACATGTCGAGAAATATTATTGTAAGGTAATGCAATCTATAAATTTATTCCATTTGTTGTTGTTGCATAGATAACATTGTCGGCTGGCCTTTAAAAATTGAAAGCGTTAGGAAATCGGTTTAGTTAATTGACTTTAATAACAAGCGTGTAATTTACATATTACATTTCATTCACTCTATTTAACCCCCTGAGAGTTGTGCATGCTTAATCATATACACTGATCCAGTCACTTAGACTTAGCGACTAAGAAAGTAATTATTGACAAACTTATTATACTATATTTCAGCAACATGAGATTAAATCACTTTATAATGACACCCTTTAAAAAAGCTGACGAGTCTAGATGAAACCCCACGCATCATTCAGAGTATGATGCAAAAATAAACAACAATTTTAAAAATTTGACCCCTTATATTACTGCTTGAATCTATAAAAATGTAGCTTTTTAGGAGTTTTTAAAAACCCTACAAAAGCAGTCAAAGATCTCAAAAGTCCGACAGTTGAATAAATAAACTTCAATCAGAATGTTTGTCTTGCTGCTATTCCTATCGGTTTCCCTGACGAGTGCTCGCCCAGATCCAGCTATAGTGAATCAGTCGACGCAGCTGCTAAGGCGCCATGGCGCTAAAGGAGTTAACTTCACATTTCTCAATTTCGAAAATGGTTTATACTACACTGAACTGGACACCAATCTGCGTGATGTTCTACTTCAACTACGCAACTTCACGCAACAGTCGGTGCTAACACAGTTCGATTGGGTGCGAGCACGCAATATGGAAGAGGGCCGCATGCAGCAGCCAGTGTTGAACAGCGACAGATTTCCCTGTGATCTGAGTGAAGGTCGATCTGCAGAGCGACCCACTCTTATAAGCCAGCTGCGTCCAGGCGATATCGATATTGTGGCGGCCTTTGGTGACTCGGGCAACTCGGGCACTGGCATTATGAGCCTGGGACCATTAGATGCCTATGTGGATTATCGTGGCTATAGCTACCTTGGCGGAGGTTTCGAAACTTGGCGCACAGCTCTCACATTGCCCAACATACTGAAGCTGTACAATCCACAGCTGTATGGATACGCCGTGGGTCATAGTCTGACTGCAGATAAGAATGTGTCTTGCTTCAACTTGGCCGAGGCTATGTTAAACGTACAAGATCTGCCGTTTCAGGCGCATGTGCTTATCGAACGCTTTCGCAGTGATCCGAAAGTAAATATACGTCAGCATTGGAAGATGCTGAGCATTCAAGTGGGCGCCAATGATTTGTGCTCAGAGCTCTGCAATTGGCCTGACACGGATGCCTTTCTCCGGATGGAGGCGCATCAGTTGCACAAAACCTTTCGATTACTCAAGGATAACGTGCCCCGACTGCTGATCAACTATATCGTTCTGCCGGACATCGATGAGCTGTTGAATATGGTTAGAAAAGCGCCCAGCCACTGTGCCCAGAGAATGTCCTTTTTTTGCAACTGCCACATAAAGTATGATCAGCAGATGTTGTATAATGCCGCCAAGCGATTCCTGCATCTCCAACTGTCGATTGCCTCGTCGCCCGAATTCCGTAGCGATGACTTTGCCATTGTGACGCATGGCATACTGAGGAATGTAAGCAACTTGTGGTCCGAGAATGGCATCATGCAGAAACGCTTCTTTGCCAATGATTGCGTCCACTATAGTCAATTGGGTCATGCTGTTTTAGCGAAAACTCTGTGGAATAATATGCTAAAGCCAAACAATGTTCAGCTGCCCGAGGCCTGGCAGCAACCGTTCAATAATTTTCTGTGCCCCAATCCAAACAGACCATTCTTAAGAACAGTGGGTGATCAGTTCTAGAGTTCCAGATCCACCATTTATGGACTATTGCTGTTAGCTGTCGACAGAGTCAACAAATTAATATTAGGAGGTATAAGGTGTATTTAAATATCAAGATTGCTTAACATTTGTACAAACTTTTTATAGACAATTCCTAAAGCAAAAGGGCCAAAAAGTCATAGAATAATTAGTGCTTATGATTTAACAGTTTATTTTAATCTACAAGTTTCAAAGATGGCTTTTCTAGCCAAAACTTTACACTCAAATGTGCTTGGCAAGCAGGAAAACTCCAACCGACTTCCAGATGAACTATACAAATATTTTGAGAAGAATCAAAGTTCAAACTAAAATTTACGTAATTATTTAAGTAATATTATTAGTATTATTCGAATAAAAGTATCATACAATAGTTAAGTTGCTTCAAGGGAAACTATTTTTGAAATATTTTAATAAATAATAATTATTATTTTGGTAATTGTATTCAGTTGAAAAGCGTTTTTGTGTTTTAATAATTAATAATCTAATTATCAAAGTATTAACTCATTAAACTCTGTTCCAATTCATTTATTCTAAACTTTTACTTTAAAATCTTACGCAAATTATAAATACCAGCTAGACTCCCCAAAAAAAGGAAGTATAAACTAATTGCGCTATAAAAGCAAGTTCAATTACGTGAAGCACCCAAAATTATTCGAGCTGTTTAGCACTCGAGGCGATAGTTAATCATGATTGTCATTCAGTTAGTGCTGTTCACGCAGCAGCTCTTATCCTTAACGGCTGCACGACTGGAGACCCCCATATTGAACCGCTCCGGCCAAATGCTCTCACGCTTGGGCATACAAAGCGTCCCATTCAACTTAGGTGATCTGCGCAACGGACACATGTACTACACGAATCTGGAAAAATATCGAAACATTGTCTTAGTGCTACGCAATGCGTCGATTAACATTGCGTTGGCCGGCATGGATCAGATGATGGCCAGCAATAAAGCGGAAGGGAAGCTGCAGCAGCCAGTGCCAGAGGACCAACCTTTTCCCTGTAATCTGAGCCAAGGGCGATCACCAGAGCCGCCCAGCCTCATCTCACAGCTGCGTCCTGGCGATATTGATATTGTGGCAGCGTTTGGAGACTCGGTAACAGCTGGCAGTGGACTGCTCTCTCGGAGTTTTTTTGACGTTAGTTCCGAGTTTCGAGGCCTGAGCTTTAGCGGTGGTGGCATTGGAAACTGGCGCACATCGCTCACACTGCCCAATATACTGAAGCTGTACAATCCACAGTTGTATGGCTATGCAACGCACGGCCTGGTTGCAGACAGACAGCGATCTGTGTTCAATGTGGCCGAGCCCATGTTGATCACACGTGATTTGCCATATCAGGCACTGGTGCTGATCGAGCGATTGCAAAGCGATCCAAAGGTCAATATGCAACAGCATTGGAAACTGTTGACCATTAATGTGGGCATGAATGACATCTGCTTTGAGCTGTGCTCCTGGGACGATTCGGACGAATTTCTGCATCTGCAACGCCAGCAGGCCTATCGCGCCTTAAGCATGCTTCGCGATAATGTGCCCAGACTGATGATCAATTGGGTTTTGTTGCCGGACATACATGAATTTCTGCGCCTGCTCGCACAATTTCCGGACAAGTGCAACCTACAGTTAATATGCTCGTGCATGACTCGACTCTTCCGGCCGCAATATCTGGACGTAGTGCAGCAACTGCAGCGCATGCCACTTGAGCTGGCCGCTCTGTCCGAGTTCAGGCGCGATGATTTTGTGATTGTGACGCACGATTTGCTCAGCAATTTAACGGGCATTGTGATCAGGCATGGAGCGATGGACATGAGATTCTTCTCGCACGATTGCATGCACTTCAGCCAACGGGGCCATGCGATTGCTTCCAGCGCACTGTGGAATAGCATGCAGCAGAAATTGGATTTGCACGAGGTACGTGCTTGGCGACAGCCGGTGCAGCACATGATGTGTCCCAGCGCGGAGAGACCATTTCTGAGAATCATCTAGTGCGGAAGTCGAGAGCGACTGCGAGTTATCTGAAATAAACAACAAAAATAAATAACAAATTCCTGCACACCGAAGTTCAGCCTCTTTGGTTGCCGAGATTTATCCGTGACACGCCTTGGTTTCTCGCTTTACGAGTCAACTATACGACTTTATTTTTAGATCACCTCACATTATTTTGTTATTGCAATATTACTTTGTTATTTTAGTGGGCAATAACCTATATCAAGTACACATACTGATTATACAGAAAGGCTACATTTTGCATGACTCCGACACTTACGACTCGATTCGAGTTCCTTTGACAAACATCTAAGCAAACAATTAGTTATTAATATTTTAAGTGGCTGGAAAACAACTAACAGCAATAGTACAAAGTTACTGGAGCTCAGTACGCAAATATTTGTTGTTGATCTTTTCGTAGCTCAGCTTTGGCTTCAATGAATGCATAACAATTCAGTAAACTCTCACAATGGAATCTAAGCTAACAAATACAACCGGTACAGTGGCGCAACAAGGGGTCTCGCAAATTACTCACTTTTTATAAAGGTATCGAGGAGTACAGTACATTAAATGAAGTAGATAACATTTAGAGATGTATATATGACATGACTGACACTTTGTGATTGTTGTTGAGAGTCAGAATAATTAGAGGAAAGCTAAATACCACAATTTAATGAGCAAAGTGCATTTCGTAATTATTAATATTATGGCTTGAAATTGAAATTTAATTACACATTAAACTGTTTTCCCTTTATATTGTTTGTATAAATCTTTAATCGTTCGATTTATTTAAGTTATCAAGTCTTAATAGAACCCAAAATCTTGAGTAACTCTCAAGTAAAGAACTTTCTACTATTCATGAAATTTGTTGATAATTCCATTTTAATATTAGAATATTAATCAAGAATCAACAATTAGTTTGTTGGAAAAAATTCCTTTGGCTTTAAGTCAAAGATTATACAGAATTAGACATATTTCCCTAATGTCACCCAAAGTCGACGCCACTGTTTTCACAAATAAACATAGACGTAAGTAGTTATAATTTATTTATAAGTCTTATATTTTTTTTATAAATGTCTAAAAACATTAATTGTTGTCTGTCATGTTGTAGTAGCATCAATGTTGTTTACGGCCGTACCAAGGTAATTATTTTGTTTTGGGTTGCTGTTAATCATATTTTCGACAATATCTTTGAACTTGTGTATAGGTTGAACCCAAGCTGTCTGTCCCAACTAGAGATGTTGTTGCCTGCTTTGTCATTTGTGATATTTTTTTTTTTTTTTTAATGATAGCCAGTGTCTCGGTCAACGCATTCAAGTCAAGTTCTGTGTAGCCTAGTGAGCCGGCATGCGATTTGTTTTTGCCTTTAATGGAAGAAATGAGTGCTTGAGGAGTACTCGTTGTTCGAGATGTTGTTGTCTGAGTTCGCTTCATTTTGTTTGAGGTTCCATTCAAACTAGCGGCATTTAAGCGCTCGACGCATTTGCGTTTCGATTGAGAACGCGTCAAGAAGTCGTGGTCGAGAGTGTGCAGCTGCTAGTCAAAGGACAACTAGAAAAGAAAAATAAATAACAAATATTATTAATAAATGTGCAAACTGTGAGACAACGAAAAAGCGTTAAGCCTAAGAAAACATTGCGTTTCATAATTAATATACAATACATGACGGATACCGTAAATGTCATCGATTCTAATAAATAGATAACCAAGTTGCCAACTATGTGTTCCAGCATATTTGGGCTCCTTGTGCTTGTGGTACTTGTAATCACAACAAATGCTGCTCATCTTCATCGCATACGCCGCCAAAATCGCTCCGATCAGCTGCTGGCCAGCATTGGAATACACGCCCAAGCCTACAAACCTGTTCGTGAACCCATGTCGAAAGCTTTGCCAGCGTACACGAATATAGATCGAGATTTTCGCCATTTGTTTATCCAAACTCGGACAACGACTCTCAACTGGGCTCTACAAGATATGGATGCGCTTTACAAAAGCAGCAGACGCGAGGGAAAAATGCAAACTCCAATTCCTGGTCAAGTACCGTTTCCCTGCCCGTTGAACAACACACGATCGCGCATTGTGCCCATATCGGTGGAGCGTTTACGGCCCGGTGATATAGACATCATAGCTGCCATTGGTGACTCACTGTCGGCTGGCAATGGCATTATGTCGCATAGTGCCCTCGACGTGATCAACGAATTTCGGGGCCTGGGCTTTTCGGGTGGCGGCATGGGCAACTGGCGGAATACTCTAACCTTGCCCAACATACTGAAAGAATTCAATCCGCAGCTCTATGGCTATGCCACTGGCCACAGTCTGGTCGTGAATCATAAGATATCACGCCTGAGCATTGCCGAGCCCATGGTCATGTCCCATGACTTGCTCTATCAGGCACGTGTGCTAATCGATCTACTGCAGCGAGATCCACATGTCGATATGCAGCGTCACTGGAAGCTGCTCACCGTGTACGTGGGCAACAACGATGTCTGCTCCGACATGTGCCACTGGACCGATCCACAATCGTTGCTCGATCAGCATGCCCGCGATCTGCGCCAAGCTTTTCGACTACTACGCGACAATGTGCCCCGGCTGGTCATCAATATGATAGCGGTGCCCAATGTGCCGCTCACAATGAGCCACCTGAAACAGGTGCCGTTCGAATGCTTTCTAGTGCATCGTATTGCCTGCCACTGCTTGATGAGCGATCGCCTCAGTCGGGAGCAACTGGAGCAGCGCATGGACACGATACGGCGATGGCAGCAGCTGGATTTGGATGTGGCACGACTGCCCGAATTTCAGCGCAAGGATTTCGCCATTATTGGCCATCCCCTGATCACCAATCTGACAACGCCCTTGTTGCCCAATGGCAACACCGATTGGCGCATCTTCTCCCACGACTGCTTTCACTTTAGCCAGCGTATGCACGCGATCGTCTCCAACATGCTGTGGAACAGCATGCTTCTGCCAGATGAACAGAAGCCACGACCCAATATCCTACCGAAACTCTTTGAGAAGTTTCTCTGCCCCAGCAAAGAACAGCCCTTCCTTGTGGTGCGGCCCAGTTGAGAATGGATTGTCCAAGTAAAACTTGGATGGTGAATGGTATTCTAAATACTCGAGCAGCGAGGAGTAGCACTGGATTAGGAGTAGCACAGCCCTTAAATAACCAAGTTAAGAGATTAACTTGCCATTAATTCCTATATATTTTTTTGGTGTTAAAATTGCACTGAGGCATCACCAAATTTCTTTCCTATGGCTGACAGGGCATAAAATTCATCTCCACATTGTTAATTTTCGATGGAAAATGTTGAACGATATTTGGTTTGAAAATATATTAAACGAAACTGAATGTTTCGAATGTAGACAATCTTTCATAATCTTAAGCTTTGGATATATATTAAATATTAAGTGGGTATCTTAATTCTACTTTTAAAAGAAGGGTTTCGAAGTACAGATTATTATTAGTAATTTAATTGATAAACAAAAGGAATAATAAGTACAAATTCTAGAATTATATTGGCTCAAAGTGCGCAGAATAGCAACTCTTAAAATCCGCACCGGATTATGAGCCATATCGAAATTCCATTGTCTGGTTTTATCCTCTCATTTGGCTGAACTTATCTTCTTCTTTTTTTTTTTTGCCTACTTCATTTCAATTAAAATATTATGCAATTTTAAACATATATTTTTATTTAATTAAAAAACACTAAAAAACAATACTCCACCCAGCATAAAAATTCATTAAAAATACTTTTTGCTTATATGGCAGAAAGTATTTTTCCTATTTGTTGCGGAACAATCCTCGAACCACAATTTCAACGGTACGCGTGACAACGCCGCCTGCTTATTACGCCTGGCTTTTCCGCCCCTTCTCCACCGTTCGCTTAACCCCCACACGCTCAGCGTGAATGCAAAATAAAAAATATAAAAAAACAAAAACAAAAAATTAAAAATATAAAAACAAAGCGTTGCGAACATTTCGCATATGCAGCGAGGCCACCTGCAAACCGGACAGTTGCCAATGGGCGGCGACCAACCCCCGGAACTCCGCATGGCATATATAGGAAAAAAATATATACACGCCCACTGCAAACAAGGCTGCTGGTTAGTGGGAGCTGGGCGATGTGGGCAAAAAGCGACCAAAATAAAAATACAAATCTGGAAAAAAATTGTGGCCGCGGCAACTGAGGCGCCAAGTGTGAGCCAACGAAGTATGGAGGGGGGCTGAAAAATTATATTAAAAATGCACTGTCCGAAAAAAGGGCGTTACACACACGGACACCCACACTCACACACACGCTGACAAGCTTATAAACCCTTGCACAGCAAAAAAAAAAAAGAGGAAGAGAAAAAAGTAAAATAAATATAAAAAAATTTAATAATAAAGTTGATGCGCTATGCTGGGTGAGGGGACGGGCCATGTCGTTGATATATACTCATACACCTCTCTATATATTACATATTTAAATATTTACGTAATACAACGGACAAAAAAGTGTCCCGTTTGCAAAATATATGCAATTTGGGTAACCAATGTAAATAAAGCGAATAAGCGAAATGGGATCACAAACAGCCGAAACGCATTCTCATCAAGAAGCCGAGAAAAAAAGAATCTATTTACCCCCAAATGATAAATACAATTTAAAATCTCGAGCCTTGATTAACCAAAACGAGCATTAGGCGAGCCAAGAGTGGTCACAAATACCAGGGACGAGTACTCAACTCAACACAACTCAACTCACAACCCCCTTAAAATAGCCGCACTTTGTTTGCGCAGTTAAAAAAAAATATATATACATGCAAATGTATGTATAAACGTATATATGTGCATACATATATCATAGAATGGGCAACTGGGAACTGGTGAGAGGAAACTGGCGGAACCGTGTAGAATGAGAGGCAAACACTGCATAAATATAATATGATGGCAAACAAAAACATTTGAGCCATTTGAGCTTGTCATTTGTACCAAGATTTTTTCTTTTATTTCACATTTCGCAGCTCGCGGCAGTTAGCAGTTGGCAGCGACCTCCCAGAGATTCGGGGGGGATGTATGTGCCAGTACATGTTTGTTGTGTATATAGTAAATTGGGTTGCTTCCCGGTTTGAGTGTTATCGACAATGCCAGACGAATATTCAGTGTGTAATCCAGTCAGCTGCCTGGTTCAGTTGGCGAACAAAAAATAAATAACTTTTCGGGTTACCTAACTCAAACCCAATCAATAAAATATTTCGATATATGCGAGGAATTTTTTAAATAATTTATTGCCATTGCAAATAGACTCGGCATGTAGAATATTATGTTTGACATTTTATGAAACCTTGTGCTCTTTTAAATGTTTAAAATTGGGATTTAAATATTTTCTTGCCTTCCTTAGATAATATTGTGTTTCATAAAAACAAATATGGTATACAAATTACTGAGAGATGCTTCAAAAATGCATGTTATCTTTATTCCAAATGTGAACTATTGTTTGTTTTTAAATTAAGAATCACAACTATGAACCTGTCCATCTATCTAATCTAAACCTAACCAATTCAAACCATTTCAACGCCAACTGCAGCAAGTCGACGAACCGACACTTAACCAGACAAATCCATCAAGACAGCGCATCAACTGAGACGGACCCTGGCCAATGACGGGCGGAGTGGAGTGGGCGTGACGCGTCCAATACGCAATGGGCATGAAACTGTCTGCAGTTAGCCAGCGACAAACATGCCAAGTATTCAGCTGGAAGACGGGATATCGGGGTCAGCGTCAACAATGGGCATTGGCCACAAAAACAAAAAAAAAAAAAAAAAAAAAAAAAAAACTGAAAGCAAAGCAAAAAACACCGTCATCGCTTGACATTAAACAGCGACAACATTTTCGCTTTGCATGCAAAATGTCGGCACAAAGGCGCACAGGATGGCGCGAGTCGCATAAGCCAACCGACAGACGCATACACTCGCAATCGCTGGCTGCTCTTGGCCATCATCTGATCCGGCATCGCCTTCCACTTCAGTCCAGCACCGCTAACGAACCGCCAAAACATCAGCCAGACGGCGGAAATAGAGCAAAGTTTCCCCAAGCGACCAGCGCACAATACAGCAGGAGAAAAAAAAAAAGAGGAGTTTAAAACGACACACAAGCTACTTGAGTTGACCAGCAGTCAGGCAGGCAAGCACTCTCGAACAGCAATTCTGGCATGGTCTTTTTTTCCGCGCTCAACTCTCTGGCATGCGGTTGACGGGTTAAGGCGGACAGTTGACCACCACAGCTGGTCAGGAGGCGGCTTCTTTGTGACGTCTTTGCTATTGTTCGCAGTGTGCCCAGTCCCAGCTTAATGGCAATGATTTTGACGGCTGTTTAGTGCTCTTGTTACTGATTCTAGTCCTAGTCCAGGTCCACGTCCTGATGCTGTTCCTGTTGCCGGTCCGCTTACCCGCTACTAAGACTAATGGCTATGTGCCTTGTTGTTGTAATGGTTTTTAGTGGCTTCTCGAATGATTTTCTATAGGTGCTTGGCCCATGGAGGACAGCGTCTTTTAATCAGCCAGCAATGGCAATGAAAGCTGACATCTGGTTTAGGGATCAGTTCCCTGAATGCGAATAGCTGAGACATTGCTTACCTTAAAATCGCAACCTTTTCACAATTACATTCATATTTTTGTAATGGATATTTAACGTTTGAAAAAATATAAAAATTTAGGTATCAGATTAATGTATTTTGGTGGCAGTTTCAAAGATAATCATTTGATAGTCTTAAATATATTTATTTTTAAGTAGCTTATCAATATGTTTTTGCATAATAATGCGATATATTCTGGGTATAGAGGAGTCATCGGTGACTGTATCACATAATATTATAGTTTCTATGAATGTGTGTATTTCCCTCCAAAAAACCAGCACTCACATGGGTACGAGTGAGTGCTATACAGAATTCAAATATGTTCCACATACATTCGAGTAGTACTATATCTATTTGCTGATGCCTTTTTTCCATTGTTTGCACTACACTTCAACGCACTTGCGTCATTGATCCGCTAGCGCCATGCAATCCACATACAACTAGGCATCTACCCATACACCCAGCCACACACACACACACACACACACACACTCGCACACACTTTCTCATCTACAATTCAACTCCAACTCCAATGGCAGCATTTTTTCCGCACACACAGCAGCAGACTCTTGTCTATCTCATACCCTCTAGCGGGTATTTTTATTGAATTTGCCTCCTTCCAACAACAGCAACAAGAACAACAACAACAACAACAACTGACCAGGCCAACTGACTCGTTGCATTATGCCAGGACATACGTTTTGAAATGCCATTCCTGCGTAGACTTTTCTTTGCTTCATCCATCTTTTTTTCTGTTTTATTTTTGCCATTACTCATATATGTATGAGGGGGCACTGGAGCTACTGGGGAGCGGGGCACGTATGTTGCCAGGTTGCCACGTGCAGAGCTTCGGCACTAAGCTTTGACTTGGGATTTGCATTTTTTACGCGCCGTGGACCATCACCCTCAGCCTGCCTCCCAACAAGGGTTCCACTTTTGCTGATGTTGTGATTTTTTTTTTTTAAATTTATATATATGTAATTTTTTTTTTTGGGCTGTTGACGCTTTTGCTGCGGGTTTTCCTGCTTTTTTTCATAATTCTCTATGCCCATTCTATCTATCTCCCTCTCTCTATGTCTCTGTGCTTCTCTGTTGTTCGCTTTGTCTATCTTTGCTTTCTCGCTGGTGCCCCATGTCCTGTTTTGGGATAAAAATCCATTTCATCAGCGGGGTTTCCGCTGCTGTCGTCGCTGCGTTTTGTTTCTTGTTCTTCTTCTGCTTGCTGCTGCTTTGTCTGATCGCGTTGAAATTGTAATGAGATTTCTGCTGCGAAGGGTTGTCTGCAATTTTACGCTAATATGCTCAGTACCCGGGTATTTAATTTATGAAACTTATCTGCGGCTCGCATCGAGGCGTGCAGGGTCCCCATTATTATTTTCCATTTGCGTCTACCAAAGTGGAAATGTGGAAATGTGAAAATGCATTCATCACTCCAAAAAACAATCTTGGGGGATTCCCCCTTGCCCGCCCCCCACGCCTCTCACGTCTTTTGTTTACTGTCCAGTTTTTGGTTAATTTCGCTCATGTGGGTTTTAATAGATTAGAGGCGACTGGGGATTGTGCAATTGGGGGAAAAGAATAGAACTGGACGGTTCATAAAGAAGGCTTAACAGGCTTGGCATACATGAGTAGCCTTGCTGGACATGTAACGTGTGTTGCAGTTGTGTGATTGATGCTGTGAAGAGGGTTAACCGTTGATAGATTGTCGAGCTATATCGCTGTACAGCTGTCTGGTCTG